TCCAGACTATAACTAAACACTTCAGGAGATAGAACTTCATATTGCCTGTGATTTTAACAATCATGCTTCTTTAACAATACTATTTGTTCATGCAACAGATAACATATATTTATTTTTGTGTCATACTAACGATTTCACATGATAACTAATTCCTTATTCCTATTATGTTTAGATTTAGTCATGTCTGCTTGGTGATTGTCTTATCAGCATAACGTACGACTTCATTGTTAGTTTTCGATGAAGTTTTGTTCTCTGAGCTGTATGATTTGGTCGTGGAGCTTTCATCATTCTTCTGAACGATATGATCAGCACGAACTTCAGGTAGAAGTCGAAATCATCCACCTGAGTTACAAATCTTCTCAACTATTTCATTATTTGTATTATTTATTTTATAAATACGTTCATGAATAGTAAAGAACTTGTAACATTTTTGGTGACTTGTTCTAAAATCAACAAATAGACAAGACACTTAAATTTTTAGTGATCAATAAATTTTATTACCATATTTTGAGAACTGTAATGTGTGAAATATATGAAGGACGCTTTTAATCCTCCGTATAAACTGTAACTCTGTTTTCAGTTGTCTTCTATTAGATACACAATCACTCATCAATCACTATCGGTTTGACCTATAAGAAGTATTTTGCCAGCAATGGAAGTTTTTAAAGAAAACTGATCCTCAAAGCCAGTGGAGTTCAGAAAAGGATAAAAATATATCATGTTTTTACGATATAATGTGTCGTGACTTGTGCCTGATTAATATATGACGTGGTAAAATCACCAATCCATAATACTTGTACGACTTTAGCACTGTGTCGAACCAATGACGTATTGACGGGTAAGAGCAGCTTAGTGTCCTTATTGGTCCTTTTACTGCCTAGCCCTGCTTGTTAAGTCTAGAATGTCAGTACCAACTCCCATCATATGGATCATATATTTCAAACATACCTGGTTTATATACAAACCAACCAGACCACATCATACCACAAATAAAAAATAACGAGTGTAAAAGATCAAGCCAAAGAGTGACTGTGATAGTGAGAAAGTGTAATTAATAAACTAGGTAAAACTTAAGGATAGCAAATCGTAAAATAATAGTCCATAAATCAAAATAAAGCTTATGATAAGCGGAATATAAATAAGCATAATCTAGTTATCCAATAATTATATAATGAAAATACATGTATAATATTAGTCCATTAATGGCTCTCAAAAGTTACATATAATTTAACCTCCGCTAGAATATAACATAGTAATAAAAATAAAAGTAAATAATACGATATTATTATCATCGACTAATCACCAGACAATACAATACACAACATACAACTATATATAATTAAGATCAAGTTCATTCAATTTCGTGTTCACTATTTTTTGAATGGAAATGAACTCAAATCCGATTCTCAATTTTGGCAGCCCACTTGGTGGCCAATCAGAATGAAGCGGGAACCATCATCTCAGCCATCTTTGCAAGCAACGGCTGCCGGCTTGTCTAGGTCTGTTTTCCCACTGGCTTTTTCGTGTCGCTGCAAAATTTAGTCTTTCAGTGTGCTGAAATTCTGTAATTCATATGGTCCTCTAAATTTTGGCGTTAACATTTTTGAATCAGTTACGTTTCCTCCTCTTGCTACTACTACTAATACTCAAATCAGTATGATAAAAAATACTAATCCGTTTCGTTTTGAGTATTATTTTGTAGATATCGAAAACAGAGTTAGCGTCTTTTAGCTAGAATAAATGTTGCTGCCACGTGAGATTTTCTTACTATCTGCATGTTCGTTCCTGTCATTTACGATGTTATCAAGAGCAATGAAAAAAACGATCTCCGGTTTATTTTCTTCAGTATTATGGACAACCCTATCCTATCAACGAGTCAAACTAACACTGAATATCCAGTCTGTGTGGATAGCAGTGTTTTCGAAAGGGTTATGAGACCCAGGCACCTGACAACCTGGGACCAAGTCAGAGATGCTACCGATCTATCACGGAAGGTTTGTTATTGAAAATATACCATTTAACATTATTGGATGACTTGAACGCATCACGTCGAGCATGAAAGCAGGCTGAACATTGGAAAGCCGGAGATCAGTTACCAGAACGTAGTGTATATCTGTTGTTCTGGCCATAAAAGGAAGCCGGATGGTCATGGTCACAGTGAATAACTGTTATTATACTAACTTATGTATAGACCAAAGTTTACTGGTTGCAAAGCCATGTTTCGTTTGAGGTATGATCTCAATCGGTATATAATAGCTTCATCTAAGATGATCCACAACCATTATTGTGATGAGAAGTATCTGACATATGATGCGTGGTACAGGAAATTAAATGTTGATCAGTTGCTAGTTGTTATACGGATGATAAAAACTGGGAGTCACCCTGAGCAGATTGTTAAATATGTCGAAGACAATTCTGGAGAGACCATTATCGTTCATTATGTCAATAATTTGAAATATAAAGTTGTCAAACGTAAGTTTTTCCTATAGATCTATGGTTTTTTAGGCTGTGAGAGTTTCATTTATGTGCTTTCAACCTTACGTAGTGAAAAAGTACTTGTATGCTATGGTGGGGATGCTAACCAAGTGAGGAGAACTCAGTACTATGAGCAAATTGAAATGTATACGTTTTCCTGAAGCAATTTGCTTCGGTTCGACATGCAACACTAACAGGATGTAAGTGAAAGTGAGATGGTAAAGATTTGTAGCTCAGGTAGACTTCTACCTGGAGTTTGTGCTGATGATGTCGTTCAGAAGAACAGTGAGAGCTCTACGACTAAACCATTCAGCTCAGAGAACAAAACTTCATCGAAAAGTAAGTGAAAGTGTTCTGCCTATCGAATGTCTTTAGTTAGGAACTCTTTCAGTTGGTTTCTACAGATAACTGTGGGTGCGGAACCCCGATTATGTTTGCCTGAACGAAGGGAGATATGGTGTGGATGATAAATCATGTTAAGTTTACCAAAGTGTCCAAGTCACCCAACTGAGATACGTGCAAAATCGAAGTTCACAAAACAACAGGTTGTCTAAAATAGCGGTTCTTTATTTAATATAAAAAATTGAGTTACAAACCTCAACTTGTGAGGTATCTGCAGTGTTTAACGCGTCCTTTTATATGAAATAAAAAGAGCTTCCTGTAACAGTAACAAAAAATAATTACAACATACGATAGTGCGAAAGACAGCTGATAGTTGTGTCTAAACATGGTAACAGTTTAACAACAAGCAAATCAGAGCCAAGAGAAAACTATATGGAAACCGTTGCGTTTAAACAAATGCACAAAACTGTGGATAACTGCTACAGCAATTGAGACATAGTAATTATAATGATAAATACAATAAATGTTATAAGTATATGTAAATATTTCGGGATATTACACGACAAACTTGTGTTACAACGTAAGCGCAGAAATTGCTAAGAATACAACAATTTACTGGATATTATTAAGTAGTATAAAACAATACGCGAAAGAGTCGAAGTGAAGTGAATAAGGATAGGGGTGATAAAACAGACAACAACTAATCATAACGAACACTAGTAATACGGAAATATTTTTAATGGATTGTGCAATATCCGTCATATTTACTGTGGAAACAACTCACCATACAGCCCACATAGTTTTATGTCCATTTCACGTGTGTAGAGTCATGTGTAGAAAGATCCGTAATCCTATATCAAAGCAGTACTTATGTCAACTTGTTCGTGAATAGTGGCAAGCTTTTATCACATTCAATGCATAATTAGTGTGCGTAGGATACGTAGATGGGTCTATCTACACATGGCTCTACACACGTGAAGTGAACATAAAATTATGTGGGCTGTACGGTGAGTCGTTTCCACTGTATATATGACGGATCCCGCACAATCCATTTAAAATATTTCCGTATTACTAGTGTTCGTCATGAATTTAGATCCAGTATAGAATGACTGAATTGACCTAGTAAATATCAGGCAAAAAGTGACCAGCAGTCTACCTTCCGAGCATGTTTAACAATCGCCAACATCGCATTCTAGAAGACAAATTTGTCAACCAGTCATTGGCAACGAACAAGAAAAACTATATACAACGCCAGGTTTTGAGGGCCAAACAATCAAAGTAAACAGCTGCAGCACACCTATAGGCAACAGCCAACCAAATTCTAGGTCAACAGGACAAGTAGGGAGAAAATTGTAGAGAAATTCTAATAATATTTCTCACTGAAGTTTATATTAACAATTCTGTCGAGAAAGACAATAAAAGCTTTATGATTAAACCATCCAGCTCAGGTAACAAAGCAATCAGAATTCTCATTCTGACCTACAAATACTTCCATTAGGCTAAATTGTTTACTCTAAAAATAGCATAAATTTAATAAAAAAATCCACGCTTCAATTGTCGTCTGAATGTATTGAATCCACGAACATTATCGTGCATTAGATATCAGACCAAAACGATAAACTTACTGAATTACCTTGTCTGCTATTCCTTTAGGCTTAAAATCAGCCGTGTATAATAAGTAATTAAGTATTTAGAAAACATAGATGAATGTATGGTGGGAACTGACTAATGGGATCAGTCAGATATAGTCTACTTTAGTTCTATGATTATTTTAAGATCATCCATCACAAGTAGCTAAATAAATTGTACAAGTTTATATGGTTTGTCAAAAAGGTCACACTATGCAGCGTAAAAGTCAAACTTGAAGCACAAATAATTTTGGTAAATAAAGAAGGAACGAATTGAGCGAAGGAATTTCTTCGTATTTCGTAAAAAGCTTTTATTCTCAATTTACAAGGAGCTGGAAATAAAGAAAGTATAAGTAATGATGCAAAATAATTTGTCACTTAGTCAAATATTTGGAAAAAAGTAACGCGAAATCGCAATTTTAATGTTTAAAAAAGTAACCAGTTTACTATAGATGTAAAAACTAATTTTTCAACTATTCATAAATCACATTCATAAGGAAATATAATCCGAAGTAAGCACAAAATATTAACAATGGTGGCATTTTTCCCTTTTCTTCAATCTACATCATGAACCACAAACAAAATTAGGTTGGTTTGGCTAACCAGAAGGTTTGCGCTGCTGAAAACCACAGTTTGACTAAAAAAGGAAAGGTCAAACAATTGAGAATTAATTCATTTTAAATAACACAATAATGGTTGATTTTCTGGACAGTGGAGATTAAATCAATATTAAATAAAATTCATAGAAATTACAAACGTACAGAAAATTTCCTTATCTCATTATAACGTCCTAATGATGATCAATATTTGTAAATCAACGTAGTCAAACTGAGAACCTTTACGAACTACACAAAATAACAATGAAACTAGACACCGGAACACGTCAAATCCGGGAATATTCGAGAAGTGATATCATGTATGTAATCACAGTTAATTAGAAATAACTCCAATGTAAAACGGTCGCTAAGGTTGTCGTGTTAGCCATAAACGATAAGCAATATGAGCATATGAGCATTAAGTCAGAGCACAACCACTTTTATTGCAGATTAACAGTTAGCTTCTTGATATCAGGGGCACGTTCTATTTGCAAGACAGGACTATGCTTTATGATTATTTGTTGAAGGGTGTGCCTGAGAATATCATAAAACCCCTGTAAACAAACACTTCGTGGAAAACGATAGCATATAACTACACTCTTAATCGTCTCATTTCAGCAGTGGGATTAAGTAGGACTGGTAAATCCCACCAATCCTCATAAACTTTGTAATTGATATTCTGGAAAGTTCCGAAGTACGTAACCATGGATCTCAAACCTGTGATTAGTGTTTCGGTACAGTGACGGTAATTTTACCAGTGCCACCATCTTGAAACTTTGACGTCGATGGCTTGAGAATGTGTAAAGAATATCATCACAGGAGCTTCTACTTCGTGCATCATTCAATAACCCCTGGATTGATCGGAAAAGAAGAGGAGAGGTGGTCAGTTTATGACATGGCGATGTTGTATGGAAAGTAGATGCATGGGAAATCGAGAATCTCTAGTCGAGGTTCTAAATATGGTTCGACACAATTATTGAAACACTATTCGACATGGCTCAAAATAGAAGCCAATGGCAATCCTGCTGCAGTGTTTCTGCATAATCCAAAAAAATGTGATGAATTTTCTAAACTGCGAGTCTTTGTTGGTCGTATTTTTACAGAATTATGTCTTCTTCCATATACTATTTTAGTTCACTTATTTTGTGTTCTGCCTCACTCCCTTTTGAAAGGTTCATAAAATTCCGGCATCTTTATACCCGATTTTAGGTGAATTAAATAAATCAGTCATCTAATCTATTACTAAACATACAGATCAACAACTATATATATATATATATATATATATATATATATATATATATATATATATATAGAGAGAGAGAGAGAGAGAGAGAGAGAGAGCTGAAACCCATAAGACTTGAGAAACCGTATACCCATCTCATTTAAGTAAGACTTCCAAAAAAATACAGGAGGGAAGCATTTTCCATACTCTAACCCCGGATCATTTGTGGATACTTTCTAGAATACCAGGTCTATGGTGTCAAGCTCATACCCAAGTAGTAGATAAGAAAGAAACAGTTAAAAAAGATTAAACGAAGTCATCAAGCCGATCAAACAAATAACAGCATAGTATTATGATTTATTATTGTAGTCGTGTTATGATAGTAAACTGTAATATAATAACCCCTCACGACAATCCCGAGACAACTTGAACGCGACCCGATACTGCATAAACAAATAAGGAAACGTACTTGATGAAGATTGGAGAACACTGCACTCCGAAATCTCAAAAAATCATGAACAGAATACTAAGTACGTCACTGGTGAACAAAAACAGAAATGAACCAAAAATGAAGCCTTTGAAATAATTTACTAGTTATTTAAAAGTTTCGTACAACAAACAACTGCTAAAAATCTTGTCCCTGATGTAATTATGAAACCATTTAACAGGTTAACGGAGCCGTAGTTCAGTGATTAAGGCAACTTAGACACTAAGTCACAGGTCCGAGATCCGTCCAATCTACTTCGACTTGGGCAACCGTGTGGCATAAGCGGACCTCACAATTAGTGTTCCCGGTGAACAAGTAGAATTAATAGGTACATAACCAACACACCGAGACCTGTTTTAGCCCCTGTAAGATATAGTCGGTCTCGATAGAACTTGTCAAAATTCATTGGACTGAGATAAATTTAACCTCATAAAACAAATAAAGGTCAGTATACAGATGGAAGGAGATGACAATGTTTAACTATTGATGGCTTACGCTCAATAAATCTAATACAATTTAGAACATATTCATTTGTCGGGTTTTTGTGAATTTACGGTATGATCTGTAACCTAACTGTTTTAGTCGAAGTGTTTAAGGCAGATTTTAGACATGTCAAGTATAGGTTAAAAGTTGAGTGCTTAACATAATGAATTACAACACCACTAATTCCAATTGCTGGTCAGACAAAGTCAACGCATTACATCTAAAACAAGAGGACGATGAGAGAGAAAAAAGACAGTGGAATAAACAGCATATAATGCGATTAGAGTTATTAAATACGAAATACTGAATAACTGACAACAATGAATCGAAACAAGAAAAAACCTTAGCTCGCCAGTACACTACTTTAAATAAAACTCAGAAGTCGAACTAAGTGGAGCGTTTAATTAGAAAGCGAGATGATAAACAGCTTAAGATGAGAGTATCATACCTACAGTAGCTTTACTAAACATTTGTGAGGGAAGCCGTTTTTTATCTTTATTAAGTTTACTTTTGATGGCTACCAAAAGACAAGAAACAGCAAAAATCGAATTTATAGTTAAACAATTCCACACTAACTCGTTGTTCCTAAAGTACTGCTTCAAAGTGTCACTAAATTTACGACAGTAGGTGATAAATTTTCGTTTTTGATCTTCAAGACATTTCTTTTGTGTTCCTGGTGGTAACGTATCATAAAAGGCACCCACAGCAGCTAACAACATCTTTATCGCATCTGCTATTCCTCTAAGTAAATAACTTTTGTTGAACAATTCAATTACTTGATGACTTCTATAAATGCTCTGCGGTCGATAATTTCATCAGGTATGCTACTAAGAATAGTTTTCAGGGTCTTAGCCGTAAGTTCCAACTCCAAAACTCTAGGATTTCTTGACGTCCTTGGATTATCTGAAATTACATGCAATCTAAAAAAACATCAAAGGCAATACCACATTCTTGAAGAGCAGCAATCCGTAAACACGTTTCAGTCACGTCGATTTCACTATCGACTCCCATCCGCTGAAGCAAGCCAATCATGAAATCTTTACTGAAACCAGGATACCGCTTCTCTACCTAATATAGGCACGAATTTGTATCCTAATTCAAACTTACCTTATAGAAAGCTTCCTTTAGTCGCTGAGTTAAAGCGTAATTCTCTTTTTCCATCTTAATAAAATCTATACCCCGTATGATAAAGACATACTTTGGCAAATGTAGGTTCGAAAATAACTTGTTTTGCTCGAGAAGCATTGCCGACTCTGTTGGTAGGAGCCACTGCAGCCGGCCACCTACTTCCAGCCATATTCCTGTAAGGAAGTGCACAAAAGTAAGTGCTGAGTAAGGTACAAAATTCTTTAGAAACCAGTAAATGCTTGAAACAAGTATATTATACCCTAAGGACAAAGGTAGAAAGATCCCCACTTAGTATCCCATACAAAAAAATTAGATCTAAATTCTCAACCCCTACTGTGTATGGTAAGCCTTAGAATTCCGGAATTGCACGGGTAGTTATCTTCAATACTTTTTTCAAGATGTTCGAGTCAATTAAATAGGGCCTTGGAGCATGAAAAATCTCCAAGTCTGGATCACACTACGGCTGTACATACCATGGCAAACATATTTGTATCCAACTTGATAAATGTTCGTCGTGATGCTCATATGGTTCTCAACCCTTCAGATACAACTGCATGGCAGTATGGTGCGGTTCGAAGATTGCGACCCACTATTACTGCCAGATGGCTATGATACAGGACTAAGGACACTGATGTTTTCCCCATGTTTCGCTATTTACGTATGTGTCCAATGTGAATGTAGAAATATAACTGTATTGATAGGGCATTAACCACAATTTAAACCAGCTTGCCCAACGTCTAGATCGGCCAGAAATCCACAAGCAACGGTACTCTCAGTTACTTTTCGCCACATGTTGACATCAGAGTAAAGTGGCATCAGAGACTTTACAATACGTGGGAATTTATTTACATAGGGTATGAAAAGTAAGAGACCTGGAACGGAGCCAGGAGTGTAACGTATTCGGTCCTGATTATTTTGTCTAAATTGCTTAGTCCTTTTGGTTACTCATTCTGACGTAAGTCCACAATGAGTGACCGATTCGGCGACAGTTTCGGGGGCTAGTCCTATATTGACAGGAGGCTCGTGAGTGGAAATAGTCACGAAGTCTTCACTCATGGCTTCTACTCTATCCTGGATTCTCTCTATCAACTAGGATAAACTCTCGTAATTATACTGGGAATCCATGGGTTCCGTCCTTGTTCTATGATTGATATATAAGGACAGTTGCTCTAACTTCTTAGCTGCAGTTTGTGAAAAGTGATTTTCGTATATTGTTTTTGCACTTTTTCCGGATCGACTTGTAGCGTTCTATTGTCGACCATTCAATAAAATACTTACTTACATTACTTACGAACTCCGCCTGGAGTCCCTCCGGGGGCTACTGCCGATCCCAAGCCCGGATAAAGGAGGAGGGTTGGGCATGGGATTAGCGACCACATCCCGTAGAAAACAAACTCGCCAAAAACCACTAACCAGAAAAAATTATCCAAAACTTCTAAACTCTGCCCTGGGAGTCAGAAGGCCTTCTTTTAGAAGAACTATGACGCCTCGTGATGAAAGCCGAATTCCTTCGGAAGTTACGAGGCCGATGCCCCTTCTGACAACCAGAGCGACCATTTATTTAGGTATATGGAATGTTCGTACAATGTGAGAGACCGGGAGAGTCTTCCAAATTGCTGCAGAAATGAGGAGATACAACCTAGAGATGCTTGGGATCAGTGAAACACATTGGACGCAAGTTGGACAACAACGACTAGCTTCAGGGGAGCTTCTGTTATACTCTGGCCATGAACAAGAAAATGCCCCACATACACAAGGAGTTGCATTGATGCTGTCCAAACAAGCACAAAAGGCACTTACAGGATGGGAATCTCATGGACCAAGGATCATCAAAGCCTCCTTCAAAACAAAGAAAGAGGGCATTTCAGTGAACATCATCCAATGCTATGCGCCTACCAACGACTACAATGAAGACGTTAAAGATCAATTCTACAATAGGCTGCAGTCAATCATCGAGAAGTGCCCAACAAAGGACCTGACCATTCTGATGGGAGATTTCAATGCCAAGGTTGGAACGGACAACACTAGATATGAAGACATCATCGGACGACACGGACTGGGAGAAAGAAACGAAAATGGTGAGAGATTTGCGAACCTATGTGCCCTTAATAAACTGGTCATAGGCGGCACCATATTCCCGCATAAACGCATACACAAAACTACATGAACTTCACAGGATCACAACACGCAAAACCAAATCGACCATATTTGTATCAACAAAACGTTCAGAAGGGCTATAGAGGACGTGAGAACCAAGAGCGGAGCTGATATAGCATCAGATCATCACTTGCTAGTCGCCAAGATGAAATTGAAACTCAAGAAGCATTGGACAAGGGGGCGGACAATATCACAAAAGTTCAATACGGCCTTTCTTCAGGATACTAACAAACTCAACGAATTCAAGATAGTCCTCAGCAATAAGTTCCAGGCCTTTCATGATCTACTCAATGGAGAAGGAACTACTGTGGAGAGCAACTGGAAGGGGATCAAAGAGGCAATCACTTCAACATGTCATGAGGTCCTGGGTCACAAGAAGCACCATCACAAGGAATGGATCACTGTTGATACACTGGATAAGATTCAAGAAAGGAGGAACAAGAAAGTAGCAATCAATATCAGTCGAACAAGAGCAGAAAAAGACAAGGCACAAGCTGAATACACAGAAGTAAACAAACAAGCGAAGAGGAGCATCAGAACCGACAAAAGTTAATATGTGGAGGATTTAGCAACAACGGCGGAAAAGGCTGCAAGAGTAGGAAACATGAGACAATTGTATGACACAACAAAGAAACTCTCTGGAAATCATCGTAAACCAGAACGACCAGTGAAAAGTAAGGAAGAGAATGTAATCACCAACATCGAAAAAACAGTGAAACAGATGGGTAGAACACTTCAAAGAACTCTTGAATCGACCAGCTCCACTGAACCCACCCAACATCGAAGCAGCACCCACGGACCTCCCAATCAATGTTGGCACACCAACAATTGAAGAAATGAGCATGGCCATCAGACAAATCAAGAGTGGCAAAGCAGCAGGACCGGACAACATTCCAGAAGAGGCACTGAAAGCAGATGTAGCAGTAAATGCAAGGATATTGCACATTCTCTTCAGCAAGATTTGGGATGAAGAACAAGCGCTAACAGACTGGAGAGAAGGATACCTGATCAAGATACCAAAGAAAGGCGACCTCAGAAAGTGTATGAACTACAGGGGCATCTCTCAATACCAGGAAAAGTCTTCAAATCGGTGCTGTTAAACAGAATGAAAGACTCCGTAGACACCCAACTTCGAGGCCAACAGGCAGGATTCCGTAAGGATCAATAGTGTACAGACAAAATCGCAACACTACGGATCATTGTGAAGCAATCAATTGAATGAAATTCATCACTCTATATCAAATTCATTGACTACGAAAAAGCATTTGATAGCGTGGACAGGACAACACTATGGAGGCTTCTATGACACTACGGCATACCTGAGAAGATAGTCAATATCAGACGGAATTCCTATGATGGATTAAAGTACAAAATCGTGCATAGAGGACAATTGAAAAACTCGTTAGAGGCAAAGACCGGTGTCAGGCAAGGTTGCTTACTATCACCCTTTCTCTTTCTCCTGGTGATCGACTGGATCATGAAGACGTCAACATCTGAAGGGAAACACGGGATACAGTGGACAGCTAGGATGCAGATGGACGATCTAGACTTCGCAAACAATCTGGCTCTTCTATCGCACACACAACAACAAATGCGAGAGAAGACAACCAGTGTAGCAGCAGCCTCAGCAGCAATAGGTCTCAACATACACAAAGCGAAAAGCAAGATTTCTGATACAACACAACATGCACCAACCACATCACACTTGACAGAGAAGATTTGGAAGATGTAAAAACCTCTATATATCTGGGCAGCATCATTGATGAACACGGTGGATCTGATGCAGATGTGAGGGTGCGAATCGGAAAAGCGAGAGCAGCATATTTACAACTGAACAACATCTGAAACTTAAAACAACTGTCAACCAACACCAAGGTCGGAATTTTCAATACAAATGTCAAGACAGTTCCACTGTATGGGGCGGAAACCTGGAGAACTACGAAAGTCACCATCCAGAAGATACAAGTGTTTATGAACAGCTGTCTACGCAAAACATTTGGGATTTGTTGGCCAGACACTATCAGCAACAACCTACTATGGGAGAGAACAAACCAAAAACCAGTGGAGGAAGAAATCAGGTAGAAGCGCTGGAAGTGGAAAGGACACACATTGAGGACAGCACCCAACTGCGTCACAAGACAAGCCCTCATATGTAATCCTCAAAGCCAAAGGAGAAGAGGAAGACCAAAGAACACATTACGCCGGGAAATGGAGATAGACATGAGAAAAATGAACAAGAATTGGATGAAACTAGAAAGGAAGGCCCAGAACAGAGTGGGTTGGAGAATGCTGGTCGGCGGCCTATGCTCCATTGGGAGTAACAGACGTAAGTAAAGTAAGTAAGTAATCATTACTTCTCCCTATGAGTGAAGGGTACTTGATTAGAATTATCATTATGAGTGGTGATTAAGTGTAGGATAGATGAGCGCCATGTATGTCATCTGATGAGATCCATAATGTACTGTAATAAAGAGAGCGAGATTTTGATTTCTAGAAGATTTTAGTTAGACGGCTTTTCGATGAACCTGACTCTAAGCTCACTTTAAAAAGGTTACTGCTTATACTCTTACTACCTCTACCACTACGGGATTTGAATGAACAACTACATCTCTGTGCTAATGTGGTATGGCAACTCGAAATGGTGTACGTACGTAAGAAGCTCTACGTTGTTACTGACTGACTGACTTTATAAAACGTACATTGAAGTCACCCATTATGAATGTACTGCACTGGTTTGACCAGGACTGTAGTTTGTTTGAGTCAGTCAGTCAGTCAGCTACAACGTAGGACCAGGCACATAAATGCATCGGTCCAGGTTGCCATACCGCATTAGCACAGCACGTTGAACACCAAATTCATAGTAGTTAATTCAATGGTAATAATATATAAAAGAAAGATTGCATATAAGGATGTAGTACAGGAAGAAAGAATTAGTTAGTAGAAAGAAAGATATTAAGTGATTTTAATGTTACTTTAAGGGAAGACATAAAGTGTAAACACCTACGCCATTGTGATCGACTCTGAGCCATGTCACCAAGAGTCTCCTACCATTAGTTACGATAGTCACGTGGACCCCGACCAAGTAGTCTGCATTTACCAACATGGCTCAGACTAGAAGTTAGTGTCTTCAAGCACTGATGCCACGTTTTGGTTTGGCCGCCCCTAACTTTCTTACAACCATCCCCTACACCGGTTAGCATTGCACGTCGTGGTAATTGGTGTTCAGGCATACGTATTACGTGGCCCAACCATCTCAGTCGATGAAGATTCATAACCTCATCAACTGATTTACCATCATTCCCTAATACCCTGCGTCTAACCTCACTATTACTTACCCGGTGATCCTAGCAGATGCCAGCAATATTTCTAAGGTATCTGTGGTCAAATATTAGTAGCTTACGAGTGTCTTCTACTCTTAATGGCCATGTTTCGCTGCCGTAAAGTAAAACAACGGACTGCCGCGCAGTATACTCGTCCTTTTATTGATAGACGGATATCTCGCCTCCGCCAAAGGTAACGTAAGTTGGCAAAAGCCAAACGAGCTTTTCGAATCCGTGCTGAGATTTCGTCAGACACCAACCCATTAGGGCTGATCAGACTTCCAAGATAAGTGAAGTTGTCAACGCGTTCGACTACTTCACTCCCTATCCTTAGTTCAGGTGTTGACGCAGACCAGTCCTGAAGCAACAACTTGCATTTGGAGGGAGAGAAGCGCATTCCAAACATTCTGGTATTGTTGCTTAGTGCTACCAAAAGACTGCATTTTGTCAGCGTCTTCACCAAACAGGACTATGTCATCTGCGTATTCTAAGTCGATAAGTGGACCTCCTGGAAGGAGATCAATACCCGAGAACTCAGTCGACGAGAACGTTATTTTCATCAGTAGGTCTATGATGAAGTTAAACGAAAATGGAGACAGTGGACAGCCTTGACGGACAACACTTGATGTTGCAAAAGTAGATGACAGTTCGCCATAAGCTCTGACTCGATTAGTAGTGTTCGAGTAAAGAGCCTATACAAGGTTTATGTACTTCTGAGGTACGCCTTTCAATAACAGACAGTGCCACAGAATATCGCGGTTTACAGAGTCAAATGCCGCTTTTAATTCAAGAAAGACCATTATTGTCGGACGCCGATAAGTACGCCTATGTTCTAGAACCTGACGAATGATGAATATGTGGTCGGTGCAGCTACGACCAGGTCTAGAGCCAGCTTGATTCTCCCGTGTTTTCAGTTTACGAGTCTTAGCTAGGCATCCGATAATTATCGAGACTAGTATTTTAGATACTATATTAGTTAAACTAACTCCTTTATAGTTATCACAGGATGATTTTGACCCTCTCTTATATATTGGGACGATAAGTGATTGTGACCAGTCAGATGGGATAACGTCCAACTCCCAGATCTTAGCTAATATATTAGTCAACCTAATTGAGAGGAAATAATTTAATAAACATTAAGGGCTACAGTAAACTACAACTAGTCTTACTCTTTACATCCAAGCCCGCACTGCACCAACTCAAATGTTCGGGATTTATGTACTACTGTCTTGATATATCGTATGGTTACAGTGCTCTGTAAGCACTGAATAATGCCACCTCTACAGCTTATTCTGTCGATCCTTTAGAGTGAGAAACTAAATGACTGAAGTTTGCTATTATTTACTTCTGACGTTAGCAAATGACAATAAATTCCAAGTTTCCTATGCTCACCATATTTGTAATCCCCATAAGCGGATATAGTGAGTTCACTGTATTTGTTATGGCATCATTTGTTGCAATTAACACACCGTATTCCAACCACGACCAGAAAGAAATATACCCATCTACCACAATGCCACTTAAGAAGCGGACATAAAACAATTATTTTACAAACCGAAACGATTTTGGAAATCTTGACATTAAAAAGTAATTAGAGATGCAATAAAGGGATCAACACTGAACACCAAGAAACTTATGAACTAGTCACAAAAGGAGTGCAAGACTCACATGTGAACCATTTGATCCAGGAAGTTTGAGGCACTATAAATGATTGAAATCAACTCTTCGTTATATGACTAAGTAATATGCTCTGATACCTTATTGTACACAAAAGTATGATAAGTTGAACCAACTATGCACATAAAAAACAAACCGCATGCTTGACCACATGACACAAAACCTAGGTGTTTTTGACCTGACAGCTACATGAAGTAAGCAAGTTTTGATGAAAAGTCTACTTGCCAAACGCTGTCTCAGCTGATGTTTGTGAGCCTAGGAATATATGTGCATCACATAATTTCGGAACGAAGAAAATTGAAGTTTTCATAGGTGTGATGAACACTTCTATAACAACCAATAAAGACTACTTTGGAAACTGCTATGGACGTAACTTTCGTGTGTATAACCAGCATGATTGCAAAGCATAACTTTATTTCCAATGACCTGGGTTAAAATCACCTCAAAATCAACGCATTTCTGTTTATTAACATGATCTACTAAAGTTCTGGTTGTAAAAATTTAGGGGTACAGGGGTTTTAGTCGGCGCAAGTTCGCCATCATGTCGAAAGTTAGCAACAAAACCACCGTTTACTAACCCTGTATCGTTATTATTTATCGCTCCCGCTAATCCACAATTCTTCAATCCTTCAATACTTGTAAAGCAATCATAGCTGACAGAAAATTTTCCGATGAAAATCGAAGATAATGGCTTTACTTGTTTAGAAATGTGTGGCGCAAATCATTCTCTTAAGCTTGAAGAGATCTGTAAGGATATATATAAACGTAAATAAATCCCCAAAATCAATCACTCTATTAGTCTCCGACATTCGTTGCCGACCGTTTTAGCTTTACCGGGCTCATTTAGCTGAAGGCGCTCAGTCATGCCTCAGCACCAGATCGCGAGTGGGAACGCCGTGCTCAACAACGCCTGCAATCGCTAGCCAGATTAGATCAGACGGTCCTCGATATATTGATAGTCTATCAATTATATCTTTGAACCTTCTCGCTTCCGTCTTTTGATTTCAATTGTTTGTTAGGATTCGTAGTGGTGTTACTAATTAGAGCGTCGTCAAACTGCAAATACCTATGGCATCTTCATTGGCGAGCCCGACGTAATGTGGCACACCAAATTGCAAACTGTGAGTCTGTTTCTTTTTGGAATTCTGTATATTATTGCCTTTTATTAATTTTTTTATATATTGTGATATTTTTCCCCGTGTTTTTGATGCATTTTTTTCACTCGTTCATTCTCGTACTTCATATTTCACCATGACTGAACCCATGGCGCTTAAGTTGAAGACTATGTCCTCAACTTAAGTTCAACTAATACCTTTGAAGATCCCACAGGTATTCGGAGTTTGACAACGCTTCAACCAGTAACACCTTCTAATATGAATTCTATCAACCAAGTGAAATCAAAAGACAGAAGCGAGGTGGTTCAAAGATATTGTAGCGTGGCGTCGAGTTGGGATTAACTATGAACACCGCTACCAAAAAACACGTGCCAAGTAAATCAGAAGGCAAAGGTTGAACGTAACCAAAGAAATCCATAAAATCCCCGAGAAGCTAAATATCAGAAGGCATTTAATGGACCAAGTCGAGATATATTTGCTAGCGATCTCGTGATATCGATAGGATACCGAGATCGTGCCAGGATACAAGCTTGGTTACAGAACGTAACCGAATTCGCGCGAAGTCACAATCAAAGTGTAAGAATAAGAATGGAAACACAATATAGCTGTCATCAGCACAGTCAAACAAAAGCACATTAAAATAAACACTGGTAAAGTTGGTTATAATAATAATTGTTTTTATTAAACCAGTCGTGTTCTCGTGGTAAATGTGAGGCACTACAATATATTTGATAGGCTATCAATATATCGAGGATCGTCTGTTCTAATCTGGCTAGCGATTGCAGGCGTTGTTGAGCACGGCGTCCTTACTCGCGATCTGGTGCTGATGCATGACCGAGAGCCTTCAGCTTGGTGAGTCTATGAAAACTAATGTGGTCAGCATCCAATGTCGAAAACCTAATGGGCTATTTGTTTTGGGGATTTATTTACCGCTACACCCTTCTGGCCAGACAACATCGAGGCCTGGTTTCGCTACACAGCGGCCGACTTCCACAAGCACGGCGCGATCGACACACGTGCACAATTCCTCGTAGTGGTCAAGACACTACCTCGCGAATTCAACGGGTACATAACACCTAGCATGTTTGCTAGCGATGTTTCTGAACATTACGAAACACTTAAACGATCTATCCTTAACCACGGAGACCAGACCGATCGACAAAGGTTAGGCCGACTCCGTGATAAAATTGACCTACAACACGGTTCTGCGACGGACATGTTGCAAAGAATGAGGGAGGTTATAGGCCAAAAAACCTTCGATGATGGCTTATTTAAACAACTTTTCTTATCCGAACTTCCTCAACAGATGCAAGCTGTGCTTGCCTCGTTTCAAAACAACACCTTAAACGAGTTGGCTGCATCGGCCGACCGCATCTTTGAAATCACTAAATTTTCTAATGCCAAGGTTTTTTCAGTCAAAGTAAAACCTCAAACGTCATACACTTACACATTATCTTAAGTTTCGTAACGACCGTAAACGGTCACACACCCCTCGAAGAAGCTCTTCACGTAAGCGATCTGTCTCTAAACCACGAGAGACTGATAACCCCGACTGGTGCTGGTATCATAACCAGTATGGAAAGTCTTCCAGAAATTGCAGAAAACCCTTCAATTTTCCCAACTCAAAACCGACCGACACGTAAAACCACTCGGGAAACTTCCAAGCCAGCACGCGAACATAGCCGTCTGTTGTACATCACAGATGTGACAACGAGAGTTCGCTACTTCATCGATACTGGTGAAGAAGTTAGTGTTCTTCCTGCGAATTCTAGCGACCGGCTTCACGAATCGGCTTTAAACTTATAGGAGGCAATCGGAAAGCCTATTGCCACATATGGTAGAAGGTACGTTTACCCTAACATGGGTGTACGCAAACCCATACACTGGATCTTCGTTGTTACAGATGTTTCTATGTCATGCATTGGTATAGACCTTCTACAACACCATAATCTCCTCATCGATACGCGCAAATGGAGGCTAGTAGACGGAAACACTGCTCTATCCATTTGCGTAACTTCTTTCTCTGGTTGCGGATTATTTCCAGTTATAATTAAGCACATGGCAGACCCGTTCTACCAACCACTACTCGTTAAGTATTCTGGGATATACCAAACGTAACCGAAATTGCCGTGTGTAACCAGCAACGTTAGACATCACGTCACGACTACAGTACCACCTGTATTCTCTAAAGCACGACGACTAGCCCCCGAAAAGCTAAGGTTGGCGAAAAACGAATTCAAACACGTGATAGACTTAGGTATCATAAGACCGTCAAACAGCCCATGGGCATCTCCGTTGCACACGGTCCCTAAAAAGAACAGCAACGATTGACTATTAACTGGTGACTATCGGCGATTGAATGCAAAAACCATTCCCGATTGTTACCCGTTGCCTCATATTCACGATTTGACAGCTACCTTGAAAGGTACAACTGTCTTTTCGAAAATCGACTTGGTCAAAGCGCAAAACCGAATCCCTATGGCTACTGACGATATTCCGAAAACAGCTATCATAACTCCCTTTGGACTCTACGAATTTTCGCGAATGCCTTTCGGTCTAAGAAACGCTGCACAAACTTTCCATAGGTTCATAGACGACGTTTTTCGAGGTCTCAACTTCGCACATGCGTATGTTGATGACTGCCTAATAGCAAGTTCGGTCAGAGACTCGCATCTCCAGCAATTAGATCTTGTTTTCGACTGACTACAAAAACATAGCATTACTGTAGACATTCAGAAATGCCAAATCCGAACTGACTCATTAGACTTTCCAAGGAAACACTCGATGCTCAAGGCATCTATTCTGGATTACCCAGAACTGACTACCATCAAGCGATTACACACGTTTAACGGCCTTTTAAGTTTCTATAGACGGTTCATACCGAAATGCGCGTCACTTATGAAACCGCTAACCAACCAACTTCATTGAAATGCGAAGTCCAGCAATCCGGACGACATCGCGCGAAAAGCATTCTTCACAGTTACGGAACTTATTGCTAAAGCAACATTGCATGCTCGTCGTGACACTGAAGCATCCATCAGTATCGCAGTAGACGCATCCGACTCAGCAATCGGAGGAGACTTACGACAGTGGGTTAACCACTCCTGGCAACCTTTGGCATTTTTCTCGAGACGTTTGCTAGACACTGAATCGCGGTATAGCATTTTCAGTAGGGAAGTCCTAGCTATGTATTGTGCTGTACAGCACTTTCAACACTGTAGAAGGCTGAGAATTTACTTTTGCCAAACATAAACCTCTTACTTTCTCTTTAAGTTCGTATTCAGACAAGTACTCCCATCGAGAGTCTCAACAAATAGTCTAAATTTCACGGTTTACTTCAGATACACAACACATTTCTTGGGCAAACAATATAGCGGCAGGCGCTCTGTCTCGTATGACTTTCTTGAACAGTGTCCAAAAAATCGACCATCTTAAACTCGCTCAGATTCAAAAAGAAGACACCGATCTTCAGCACTAGTTATCGTCAACAACATTTAAGCTGTCTGCTAAACAGATGGGAACAGGTAAGGAAACCTTACAACGCAACACATCTACAGGTAGGGATCGCCCAACCGTGCCGAAAGATTATCGACACAATGTCTTCGATACGTTGCACAACATTTCTCATCCAGGTGTCCATGAGACTATCAAGCTTATGGCAAACGGTTTTGCTGGCCTGGTATGAATAAGGACGTGAGGGAGTAGGCACACTCCTGTGTAGGCTGCCAGTAATCCAAGGTGATTAGACACGAAAAATGTCCCTTAGGCTCTTTCAAAACTCCCGACTCTCGTTTCAACCATGTTCATCTGGATTTGATAGGACCTTTACCAGATTCAAAGGATACTCTTATCTCTTAACCTGCGTAGACCGTTCCACGCGATGGCCAGAAGCAGTACCTATAAAGGACACCACTACTAAAACAGTGATCTGCGCCTTCGTCGAACAGTGCGTATCAAATTACAGTTGTCCTTCAACTATCATCGAAACCGTAGACGCCATTTTGAATCTAGACTTTCCCGTTGTCTGACTTCATTATTAAGCATAACACGATTTCGAACGACTACCTACTACCCACAAGCAAACGGGTTGGTAGAACGCTTTCACCGACTGCCTAAAGCTTCACACTCAGCTACAAACGTTTGATAGTGGACCGACGCTCTTCCACTCGTCATACTTGGCGATGCGGTAAAAGCTGACATTGGATGCACTGCAGTGAAAATCATTTACGAAACGACACTCCGGCTTCCAGAAGAATTTGTGGACCCCTCATCTTCTTCGATGAATATGGATCTAAACTCCTAAACGAGCAGGCTTAAAAACGCGTTCAGTTAAACCTGTTTCCACTCGGCCTCAATCAACTGATGTTTTCGTTCAATCTGACCTACGATATAGTGCACATATTTTGTACTTCACGTCTCACTTCGATGACCACTCAAAGCGACATACGAAGGACCATTCAAAGTTCTTCAGCGCGAACCCAAGTATTATATAATCGATAAGAACCGAACCAACGATAGCATCAGTATCGATCGTCTCAAAGCCGCGTATTTAGATGCAAACCCTGACCATATCTAATTTTTTCGGCGCAATCGAAAGACACAAGTTTCACGATAACGATACTTCAACTGATAACCAACAATCATGATGACACTTCTAGGATATCTGACAACCGACTCAAAACAACGCGCTCTGGAAGAAGAGGGAGATTTAGAGAGCACTTAAACGATTACTACACGTAAGACACCACGTAACGTTTTGGTTAGTCTTGAATGTTTTTTTTATATCACTGCGCCACAAAAAATCTATATTTAATATGTTCACATGCATGTTTACTTTTTTCTTCCAAAAAAACGAAAAAATAGTTCGTTGCTAATATACTTGTTTACAAGTGTGTACTTTTAGTTTGAAAAAAAAATAAGAGCATAAAATCACTCTGCAAAAGTCGTTTTTACGCTAATGCATGCTTGAGAAACGCATGTATGTAAGTTGATTTTCGATTTCTCACCCGTTTTGTGTTTTTGCGCATGTACGGGTGTAAATCGGCATGCACTTATGTATCTTTTTTCCTATCCAGAACGGCTGGAAAAGATGAAGAACCGACGAAGTTTACGATGGATAAAAAGTTTGATTAGACTTGTATTACCCTACTATGTTGCACCACACGATCCCTTATAGTAAGGAAAGGGGACTAGACGTTACTGAACGTAGTAAGCTGTTAAAGAGTGTTTATCAACTTGTTGTGTTTATACTTGCGGCTGGCCGCGTCTTAGGTTTACTACTGCCCCACTACGAGAGGAGTGAGCTGTAGCGATGAATAAGTCTCCAAAATCAATCACTATTAGTCTTCGACATTTGTTGCCGACCGTGTTAGTTTTACCGGACTCATTTAGCTGAAGAGACTCGGTCATGCATCCTCACCAGATCATGAATGAGTACTCCGTGCAACACATCTACAAATACTATCAAGCTCATACTGATCACTCCCCGATATATAGATAGCCTATTAAATATATCTTCGAGTCTCTTCGATTCTGACTTGGCTGATTTAACATACACCGGTTATAAAAGGTGTTAGTGGTCAGGGTGTCGTCAAACTACGAATACTTGTGGAATATTTAACAGCATTTAATGGCAGTGGGATAGGTTTAGTGTGAATCAAGGCATGGTTCAAATACACAGGAGCAAACATTAGAGTGAGGAAGAACATTATATTCGACAAGTAGAAGTAGGCGGAAAGACAATCTATGACAGTGGAACAGCTGGAAAATATAGTAAACCTAACGGCCAGACAATAAAGAAGGCATGTCAGTTACTGAGATCCCAAAACAGCGAACGACTAGGTAGAACACTTTAAGGGACTGTTGAATAGAATAAACCTATTGGACCTTGCGGGCGTCAAAGCAGCATAACCAGAACTTCCTATAGGTGGTACTTCACCAACGACCTGAGACATCAGGATGGCCATCAGACAAATCAGGAGCGGGATAGCAGCAGGACCTGACCATATACCAGCTAAACTACCGAAAACACCTCTTAGTATGTTTCTCCGTTACCATTTAAAAACAGCAGGTGATCTTGTACGGGTGGATGTCAGTACACATCATTCGTTCATCAAAGGAGGCTAACAAAAATAATCTGTTTTTTCAAGCATTAAAGAATCATAACTCGTGCTTCCCAGTGACAGAACCTCAAATATTTAGTCCTCGGACTGATTATCGCTTAAAAATAAGATACACTGAGCCTTACACTCTTGGTTTCACGCTAGGTTGCTCATGTATTGGAAATCAGTCGGCTTCAGCAGATCAATAGAATTTTTCATCGATAGTGCTGTTATATATCAAGTACTTTCAAATGCCTTTGGTAGAATCTATTATTTCTGTTGTATCAACAACCATATTCAGTCACCACTGACTAGCTAATGTAATAGAGGTGCAGCAGTGAATAGGCCACAAAAGTAAATAGTTCCATAAGTCTTGAACATTGATAATTACTTCAGTAATTTTACTGAAAAACCCCTCGTTGAAGTCTCTTGGCTCAGCACCCTCATAATATCACGATTGGGTGCTCACGACTACACATTCCTCACAACAAGAAGCTCAGTTCATATATTCCTCGACACATCGACTATCTTCAAGATAATTAATCAAAATCCTCTATTTCTGAATTTTTATTTGACTGTTTTGGAGTCTTTCGATTACGGACAAAAGCGTTATCAAGCTCTGGAAATCTATGACATAAACGCTTTTGGTGATCCTCTTGTCTCTGGTATGGATCTGAAATGAAAGATGTATATGGCATTCAATCATTTTGGCAGAAGGATTGTAGAATTCAATTTTGCTCAGTAAAATGACCTTATTTATATTGCGTGATTACTATTATTTTTAAAGCATTGAATATATCTGTATTGGTAATTGCCTGCATAACTTACGTGTTATTGTTTTATATCACTTAAGTTCATTGATGCAGTGACTCAAAGATAGGCCCATGATCTGTTCTGTAGGCGTAGTGCCTGTCATCTCTTTCATAAAATACTTACGATATGATCAATTCTGTTTAAACCCATCAACGGCTAAATTTCTTATGGCGCAGTAGTCTACCTATGTCAAATGAACTCTCGGTTGGTCGTTCAGCCTCGCAGTTTCTGGTCGCTTCTGAGAATAGATCGGGATATGATATTTGCAATTCAACATCGGTCGGTTCCCCACGCAGAAATGTTGCTCGTTTCCAGCGTCCAACAGCCTGTATTTTCTATACATCATTAATTATACATTCTTTGTAGTGTTGTGTGAAAGACAACGTTCTGAATCTCCTGCAACTCATTCAAAGAGTCGACAGCAAGATGCTTCCGTTAATAGTAATAAACAAAACGACAGGTTTGTAGCGTCGTTAAATCTCATCCAGCATAGATATGATTTTGAATCTTTGCAAAAAGAAATTGCCAAAAGGAGTGGCGTCCTACTCTTCGGAAACAAGGTAATGGATGTTTTTATTATTGTTGCTATAGGTTTTGCTCGCTAAAACAGACGATTTCGCGAATGAGGGCTGTCTAGGTTCTGGTACGTGTAGCTCTGTGTACAAGATGCGACATCGTACCAAGCCTAATATAGTAATGGCGGTTAAGCAAATGCGTGTGTCATCTACGTATGAAGAGGAAAATAAGCGTATTATGATGGATCTAAATATTGTTACAAAATGCTTCGATTGCTCTTATATCGTCGAGTGCTATGGAATATTCTTCTCCGGAGTGAGTTCATCTTACCACTTTTTACGCTTCAGGGTGACGTCTGGATATGCATGGAAGTCATGTCAACCTGCTTAGATAAGCTATATCATGATCTTCATCGTCCATTTCCAGAAAAGGTATTGGGGAAAGTGACGGTTGCTGTAAGTTCGTTTCAGTTTACTTTATCTTTTTTAAAGATTACCACTGCTTTGGACTATTTGAAACGGAAACATAACGTTATGCACAGAGGTAATGCTATAATTTTAATAAGTTCCAGACGTTAAACCATCTAATATGCTTTTGAGTTACCAAGGTGTTATTAAGTTATGTGACTTCGGAATAAGTGGAATTCTTAAGGATTCTATTGCCCGTTCGCGACAGCCGGGATGCACTGGTTATATGGCTCCAGAACGTCTTAACAACTCAACATATGATGTTCGTGCAGACATTTGGTCACTTGGAATATCATTGTTGGAGTTGGCAACCGGATCTTTTCCATACACTGGGACTCATATTGAATTTGCTATTATGACTAAAATAATTTCAGATCCACCTCCATCGTTACCTCACCATATACCTTTTACCCCTGCATTCCGTCAATTCGTCGAGCTATGGTAAGTCTGTTGCCTTTCGTTTATTGCTGTAAAGTCTTGGTCATCTCTTAATCTTACATATTTTGCTAATTGTCTTTTTATCCTTTTTCATCTTATCTGTATCATTTTAAAAAGGTAAGTCATGTTAACTATGGTACAACAGGTAAGTCCCATGGTCAGGTATTTTGTGTTTACCGAAAGGCATTTTCGAATTCATTTACGGTCGATGCAAGTTTTAAAAGATTTTGTATTCAAAGTAATAATGTCCGAGTTAGACACTATGCACTCACCTAAATTCTAGACCACTTTTACACGGGAAGTACTTATGATTCTATCTTTATCTCCATCTGCATTTCCAGTTTTTTATTTGGATATGACATACGTCTATGAATCTGTTTTAAGAGTTGATTGTAACTTTTGTCTTCAAAAATCTCAGTGTACGTTTGGATGTAAGAAAGTAAGTTATAATTAATTTTGCGCCACAGTGTTAGACACAGAAAATTCACAATTGATTGATCACTGAGTGGTGATCATTGTCATGTTCGTCAAGTCCTTATTAGTGCAGATCGAATGCTTTCAACCATGTTGCAATATGGCCACCAGTCTAGGTGACTCGACACTGCGTGCACTATGCTGAGATTAGATGGTGGTTGGAGGTAGTCGACAGAAAACCCTGGACCCGGGTTTCGTGCTACTTCGCACCCAGTGGTCAATCAATTGTGATTACGTCTCAGTCCTACGAGAGGTCGGTCGCAGCTCGGATAGCTCAGTGGTAACGTCTCTGACTGTGAAGCTGGGTGACACGGGATCGAATCCGTCAGGGAGCACCAGTTCCCTCAAGATTATAGGTACACCTTGCTGACGAGTGCCAAGCAGCACGAAACCCGGATCTCAACACAGAAACTTGGAAATTGAATAGCTGTGTAAGTGGTTTTGTTGGAATAATCAATCAATTGAAACTGTTTTGGCTTGTAAAAGTTTATAAATGCTGATGAATGAATTCAAATAATTATTTTGTTTCTTACTACATGATGTATGGTAGAGTAGAGTGAACATACACAAAAAAGATGGGATGCACACGATAGTCACAATCAGTAGTATCACTGAATCGATCACATTGGTAGGGATACATTCACCCTTAATTCTTGAGCACCAATATTATTTCCTACACTTTATTCCTCTAATTCATCCTCTCTTCGAGCTATATTCCAAAATGTTCAGTCGCTGTCATTGATGCCACTATTCATCTTGTTAAGTTCATCTCGATTTGCAAATGTGGTGTAAGAAGTGGGGTTGGTTCACATTTGTGTCAGGCTTTGTTAATGTTGACTGTGTCTGTACCTAGTGTATACCTTATTATTCACTGCATCACTTAATTAAAGTAAACATATATAATCAGCGTGTGTATGCCCGCTCGTATGCCTTAGACGGCAAAAGTCTTATTTCTGCTCTAAAAGAATGAAAAAACCATTGTTGGCTGTGATGTATAGGTTTGTCGAATAAGCTTGGTATCTCATCCTTTTTTTTCTTGATATGTTTCACGTCAAATATATAGTCGATATTAGCAGAACAAATTAGAGGTAAGCAGGTCCCTTCTTGCTCAAATTTTTGACCGGCTCAATCGAATTTCTATGTTTCTATCCTTGTAAAAATGGAAAAGTAAGCATTTGGTTACCTCTTTGATTAGTCTGTTTGATTTGTTTGGGATTTACTGTATTATCCTCCTTTTCATTTTTAGCTTAACAAAGGACCATACTCAGCGCCCAAAATATCGCTCATTAATGAGTACTGGATTTTTTGTTCGGCACAACAAGGAACCTCATGATGTACTAGAGTGGCTTAGGGGATTACCATTACCACACTTACAGTGTTTAGATGAAACGAAGACCAATAATTGGGATTGCAAAACCCCTACAAGCATCACATCCTCTATGGATTATTTGACTGGTACAATTGAATCTCCCGAATCAGTGACCACTCTTAGTCCAGATATTTCCGGGGGTGTGAGTAATATCTCTCTTGATGACTCTTCCGATTCAAAAAAAGCATCATGGGAAAATATAAGTAATCAAGCTGAGGTAGACGTTACACTAGTTGCAGCACCTAAAGTAAATTCCGATTCTAACGAGCAAACACAGTTCACTGTTCATAAATCTTCTGTAACTTCTGACCATTTTGTTAATGAAAATATTTCCCCTCAGCTTTCATCCCTTACAATTAGTGAACAGTTTTCTGTTGGTCAAAACCCTCATTTTTTTAGGACCCGAAATACAATAGTTGATCAGAGTTCAGAAAATTTTATTAACCTACTAGAGGGAAAGTCCAATAAGTTCCTCTCCCAGGGCTCTTCAGGTTACGGATCTGCAGGTTCTGATAGTTCTCCTGGATCTCTTGGAAGTGATAGTCGTCCACCAAGTTCCACCCAAGTTCTTGATATGATATTACCCAATAGAAGTGTTAATGGGATCCCTTCTTTACCGGTATTTCAGCGTGCCAAACCTTCGTACACTATCAGAGTCAATAAACCCAATACATGTTTGAACAATATTTCGGAAAATAATGCTAGTCGATCTAATTTGTCAATCCGGCCCACCGTATCAGATTCATTTTCTAATCATCCTAGTTGTCAAGTCTCCTCTGTGCATTCAATAAGTGGTTCTGATCAGTGGAGTACGTTATCCCTATCATCTAGAACAACTCATATACCTACATCTCAACCTGTTACGGAAAATTCTGTTCATAATCAGCTAACATCACTCATTGAAAAATTTGAACCCAGCTCGAATAAAGGAGTTGGTTTATGTTCTAGCACGAAACATGAAAAGTGTACCCCTTTAGATAATGATTCCGAAGAAAAAAGTAAAAGTTTTGGTTCTTCAAAGATGGAATTGATCTGTGGTCGTCCCAATATAAACAAACGGAAAGTAGTTGGCCAATCACGTTCCTCTTCTGTTGGTGCTCAGTTGCAGCGCTCTCCCGCTAAAAGATGGTTAGTCAGACCACCACGCATTATAAGAAATCTTCAAGTCGATCAAAATCCTTCAGTATGTGCACACAATAATACCACTCGTATACGTTCGCCAGTAATTCCAAATGCTACCTCATCCATATTGAACCCGAACTATGGGACCATTTTAGGGAAGAATACGTCTCCACAACAATATCATCATCATTATTTCTATTATTATTATGACAATCAACTTGATGCAAACAATCTAAATAAACCACCTAGTACATCATGGGTGGCCAAAGAGAATATAAGTGCTCTTGGTAGAAATTCGCCATCTTATTTTACTAATTCAAACTCCAATTCATTGGTTAGTAACTCTCTACCCTCAAGCAACATATCACCTATTCTTTCAGGAAGAATGTGTCAACGGTTAAATACTCATCCAATTCCAAGACAAAGCAGTTTGCAATTTCCATCTGACGATTTTAGATCTTCCAAGGTGGAGTCAACTTCACTTCTTTTCTCTGGAATGTTAGGATCACGTCTACCTATGGCTTCACAATCCACTTATCAGATTATATCCAGCGAGTCCCATGGGCGATACCTTAACCGAAACATTTTCCAACATCCACTTGTATTCAGTAACTCAACGCTAAGAGACACTGGTACATTGATAAAGAAAGGTGAACATCCTAAACATACACACAGATCAGTGTCACAACCTCCTAAATTACGAGACTGGCTATCTTTTGAAACAGAATTGTGAAGATACACCTAATGGTACTAATGCATATCAACAGAAATATCGAGATCTATTTATGTTCCTAAACTTAGTTCCAACTTACCTTTGTCTTTCGATGCTTGCATCAGCATTTTGTTGTTAGGACGATTTTATTGATCATCTTCAAATGCTCACATTCATTTCTAGTCTTTCCATTCTCCATACAAAATGCATAACCTACAAAAGCTTTCAGCAACTACTCTTAAATATGTTTATTGGTAATCAATTGGGTTACTTCTGTACATACTAGTGTAAATTATGGTCTTCATTGTAATTTATGCCCTAACAGTTTTATTTGAAGTCAGTTACCTAGTTGTATTATTGTTTTATTAGTCAAGTCTTGAATTTTTGGATGATTTTTAAAAATAATCTTTCAACGAATTCATGTTAGGTTCCAGAAAATAAAATATTTTTAAGAATCCGTCTTTTGTGACTGCACATTATTAAATTTCGCATCTTGGATAAGTGTTTCACCATGTTAGCTGCAGTTTAATATGAAGGGAGAGAATTGTACTCTAGTTACATCCATAGATAAGTGTAAGTCTTGGAGATGTTATGAGAATGTAATCTTCAAACAGGGTATTCAACACCTTGGCGACTTTCAATTCCACACCAATGACATTTCCGAATAAGAAGACCATGTGGAAAGGTTAAAACTAAGTAAATTCAAATGAACTAAAACATTATCATCAAAACTTTAACTTACCCAATGAGTTTTTTTGAGCATTGACTTCTGATTTGCTTAAAAGCAGTAACAATTCGGATAATCCGAATTTCACATCGTATTACTCGTTTAGTTTTGCTGCTGTATTTTATACAAAGCTTTTTACTGACGTCTTACGCAACTGATTTCTACTTCAGCGACATACGTTACTTAGATTTTATTTGTTTATTGAGTCTTTTTACCCTAGGCATTTTTGATATTAGAACGACTCCTAAAATTGTTTTGGCTTGATGTTTTCGCATTCAGAAATATAGTTTATAATGCGTCAAACGGATGTATGAAAAGAGTAATATTTTACTGGTAAAGTATGCAGTCGAAAAATTGATGATCGGCTTTTGGTGCATTAAAGGGATTCGCTTTCATTCCAGCAGTAAATTACTTTCTCTACATCTCATATTTTGTGAATGTATGGTCCCTACCGTTTATGAAATAACAAGTGTTATGTGGTTTAAATCTGCGTAGTACATTTACTAGTTCAGTTGGGTCTGTCCATTAGCAATATTTTCCAGTTTTTAGTTAAACAGGATTAAGTAAAAGGGTTATAAGTGAGACTGTATTTAGCTACTGTGGTATATCGAGATTCATGTATTGGGTTAGCGAAGTCATTGTATACCACAGGATCCTATGACAGACTTTTAACTAAGCTCTGGAAAATCGGAAGCGTAAAATTTCCAGGTGTCCTTACATGTAGTCTGTATGGGTAAATGCATACAATATCAGCTTTTAAAGAATAACTGGCTGTTATCTTGCCAAAGATCGCCTTAGTAAATCTCCAAATACTATACCGTTCAGAATATGGTTATAATTTTCTCTTATCGTGCATAGTGTAGCTTTTGCCTTCACTTGTTTAGTTTCTAATAAGGCCAAGAATATGTATCCAGTGGATGACCGCATCATTGAACCGTGATTATTTATAGACGTCTACTTGTAATTTAATATAGGCAGAGGTTGGCATATGACATGTATTTGTTACTACCCATTATATGGATACAGCTCCTATTACCTCTGTATTAAAGGTCCCACTCTTATCAGGAGCTATATATTACACTTACAATTATCGCCTACCTTGATTTAAAACTAAGAAAGTCCCTTGTAATTTAAGATATGAATAAAATAAACTCAGTTGACACCGATCAGGTGGTTTTAAACGGATGAAAAGAAAAATGACGAGTACGAGTCATTTTTATGCATGGGATCGTAGTGTTTATGAAGTAAATAACAATACTGTATCTGAAGCTATACAGTCATATGATGGGAGCTAGTTAAAATCAGTCGATTTAAGGATATGGGTGCTGGAAAATCCAGGTGAATAGAAAACACAAGTTTTGGAAACTAGGTGAATCATTTTAATCGAAATACTATTACTTAAATTGAATTCGTCCTAAGACATCGTATGTAAAAATCAGCTCCATAAATATGAGCTCCTAGTAATCTAGCTATAAAGAGGTGAATGCACAATCCTAACACTCAGTGACGGTGATGAGATATCAATTAATTTGATTATTTGGTAGGTTCAACATAATTCCCAAAAGTATTGGAGCATTAGACTATCCATTACTGAAGTGTATAATCACTGCTTGCACACTTCATTTAAATCCTGAAGTCTTGGTGCATTAGTGATAGAAAATCTCAAATTAGTGGTTCATTGAATCGAACTTGTTGGTGAAAGATATTACCACTGAATAGCCCGAGAGCAATAGAAGAAAGCAATTTCCTGGTCGCACTTTTCCGAAATCAACCTTGAACCCGACTAATCTCCCGCAATTTTTCTCGAATCGTTATCTAAGCCTGGTCCTTTTTACCACTGGTATTGTTATCACTAGTACTACCTTTGTAATTTCATCTCAATGTGCTGATACAATGAAACAAATTAGACCCACGTATATATGTTCCGAATCATACATTTCGTATGACTGGCTTAGTAATCACCTTGGCACATTACTCTGACCGAGTTTCCACGTGATCGAAACATCCGTCCTTTCATGGTATTTTATGTGATGTCAAGTCATATGGATATGAAACATGCTCGCATAGCAAAAGTAATAGATGTATTTTAATCTGTACCACAAGTAACAACAGTCTGGTGCGTATTTGACTGCTGGTTGGTAAAATCTACATGCCTAAATATCAGTGCTCTCTCTGTTTGATGGCTACTAAAGCTGTAGCACAATTTTTAATGCTGTGTAATATCATTAATGAATCGATAAGACCATCTTCAAAAAACTCTCGTCTGTGCGGCTGTTTTTTAATATATCGTAACATCTCTTATATAAAGAAAACTTATGACTTAGTTGAATATGAAGAGTGGCAAGTTTATGCCCCCCCCGAATGCCCTGGTACGGCCGAGAGTGGGGAGAGTCCGCTCTCCCTCTCGAAATGCTCTCACACGGCCGCGAGTATACAGCCTCTGCCAGGAAAGTCCTACTCACTGCGCTCTCGTAGCGGGGGTGTTGTTTACGAAAATGAGAGGACGAAAAGCGGATGTCCGGCGCTTTAACCGGATTCCAAACCAATGGTGCACATGAGCTCCAGTATCCTGCGGGAACAAATGGCGTATGAACCAATCGTTGGTCACCGGCTACCATGGGATTGCATCTCCTTACGATGCTCCACTGCCTTGTGGGTTAGACCTTTAGGTCAAAGGCTCGGGGAGTGGCCCCCTAAGATAACCACCTGCTTCGGTTTGGGCACCCGGGCAGTATCACAGCCCACACACAAATGATGGACTCTTTATGTCTATGGAAATTACTTTTCTCGCTTCGAAAAACAAACAATTGATTCAAATTATTATCATTACAATTATTGTCACTATTAATACTATTATTATTATTACTATTATTGTCATTATTATTATTATTATTTTCCACATTATTTACCCTCTTTTATACCTATACAGCGGCTCGTCTTTGGTGGAAATTCGACTGTATCTAAACGTCCTCGAGTCACTGTCCGGTTGAAAATTGTATGTTACCACCGAATACGAGAACTGAAGCAGTTTTTCTGAAACCACGTGCACCATTCAAACTGGCTGCCTTCAACGTTCGCACACTTATGCAGGTCGGACAACAGATAGGGCTGGCTATGTCTTTGGAAAGTCTTAATATTGATGTTTGTTGTCTATCCGAGACCCGTATTCAAGACTGGCGAAGTACTACAAATGCGATCTTCATCCGTCGCTTCGAAAAGCTTGTTTTACGTGCGCTTATTCGGGGACCCTGTGGCATCTTCGTCTGGTCTTGCTGGCGTTGGTGTCACATTAAGCGCTCGAGCTGAGGCAGCACTAGTCGATTGGATCCCCATTAACAGTCGGTTATGTGCTGTTAGATTAGAAAGTTCCATCAAAGTGAGAAGAAATCGGCGTAAGAAACGATGTCTTTTCGTCATCTCCGCCTATGCCCCGACAGATTGCAGCCCGGATGCAATCAAGGATGAGTTTTACCACCAGTTATCAGTTCTTCTCCAGAAAGTGCGTTCGACAGATATTGTAGTACTAGCCGGAGACTTGAATGCTCAGGTCGGGCGTCTAGGCACAGAAGAGAGTCGTTTAAGTGGCCGATGGGGACTTGTTAGTCGCAGGACAGATAACGGGGACTGTCTACTGCAACTTTGCACAGACCACAACCTGTTTCTGGCCAGCACTAACTTTCGGCACAGTCATCGCCGATGTGCCACCTGGCGTCCTCCCTCTGCATCTCAAGCCTGGACTCAGATTGATCACATCGCGATCAGCTACCGCTGGCGCGGTTGTGTACAAGACTGCCGCTCCTTTTGGAGTACCTATCTGGACTCTGACCATGCCTTGGTCTGCGCCAATCTTGCCTTACTTTTCAGTGGACAACGAAGTGACCACCATCAACGGATTGCTATTAGCAAGCTGGTTGCAACTTCTGTTGCAAGTAAGTATCGAACCGAGCTAGCCTCTAGGCTAGCTACCACTCCACCGAAAAGTATAGATGAGCATTGGTTGCAATTGCATGACGCCATGAAAATGGCGGGAACAGTCAGTTGTGGGTTTGCGAAACGTCCCGCTTATAAGCACTGGGTTTCTTCTGGTTCCTTACAACTCATTGAAGCCGGTCGGTCTACTCCGGGTAACCGTGAGTTTGACCATAAACGAAGGATTTTACGTAAGGAAATCGGGCAAAGCTTGCGTAAGGACCGAGAAGCCTGGTGGTCGATGCGTGCTAATGAGCTGGAAGCAGCAGCTGCATCTGGTATTAACCGGAGGCTCTTCCAACTCATTCGAGCCACTGGCAGCAAGAAGTCTGGAGTGAGCGAAACAATCTGCGAGGATGACGGGATGCCAATCACTAACATCCATCGACATCTTGGACGATGGGCAGAATTTTTCGAAGGGCAGTTCAACTGACGTGCTGCTTCGGCAACATCGGTCAGACTGTCCTGACCTCCATGGCCGGTGACGACTGATCCACCAAACGAGGAGGAAGTCCGCAAGGAACTCCAACTCTTGGAGCGTTACAAATCACCTGGCCCAGATGACTTACCTCCGGCTCTTTTTAAATATGGTGGTAACTTTCGGAATAAGGAACTGAATATGTTGTTTACAAATGTCTGGGAGCTAGAGAGTGTACCAACATCATGGAATGAGTCGGTAGTTGTCCCTATCTTTAAAAAGGGTTCACGTCGTTCCTGTAACAACTATCGGGGGATAAGTCTACTTCCGATTGCGTCCAAGCTATTGGCTTACGTCATACTTCGTAGGTTGTTCAAAACCCGAGAACGGTTGACTCGCGAGGAGCAGGCTGGGTTTCGTTCTGGTCGAGGATGTATTGATCATATCTTCACACTCCGCCAAATGTTAGAACACCGCCATACTTATCAAAGGCCAACAATCGTAGTGTTTCTTGACATCAGGGCTGCCTTCGATTCGTTGGATAGGACTGTTCTCTGGAATTGTCTATTGAAGAAGGGTATGCCTGAGAAGTTTATTAATATCCCAAAAGCCCTATATACAAACACCTCAGGCAGAGTGAGGGCATACAACCACCTCTCTCCATTGTTCCATTCGAGCAGTGGGGTTAGGCAGGGTTGCCCAATCTCACCATTCCTCTTCAACTTTGCCATCGATGACATTCTAGAAACAGCTCTGATGAATGTAAGTAATGATGGTGTGGATCTGTTGCCTGGAGAAAGACTTTTCGACCTTGAGTATGCGGATCATATTGTCTTACTGTGCGATAATGCCCAAGGCATGCAATCCGCACTTAATCAGTTGACAATCAGTGTCCGTAGGTATGGTATGTGCTTTGCACCTTCGAAGTGCAAAGTACTTCTACAAGACTGGCAGGATCCTAATCCTGTACTCACCCTGGATGGTGAGCAGATAGAAGTAGTCGAGAAGTTCGTGTATCTGGGTAGCTGCATAAGTGCTGGTGGGGGTGTGAGTGATGAGTTCAATGCACGTATAGTGAAAGCCAGAGCGGCTTATGCCAATCTGGGCCACCTTTGGCGCCTTCGTGATGTTAGTCTGGCTGTAAAAGGTCGGATCTACAACGCGTCGGTGAGAGCAGTTTTGCTCTATGCTTGTGAAACCTGGTCTCTCCGAGTTGAGGACGTTGGACGACTCTCTGTGTTCGATCATCGCTGTCTCCGAAGGATTGCTGACATTCAGTGGCAACACCATGTCAGTAATGCAGAGGTTCGGCATCGTGTGTTCGGACACAGAGATGATAATTCAATTGGTGTCACCATCTTGAAACACTGATTTCGGTGGCTTGGACATGTTCTACGAATGTCGTCCCAGAGAATTCCACGTCGTGCATTATTTGCCGACTCTGGGGCTGGTTGGAAGAAGCGGAGAGGTGATCAGTGCATGACATGGTGTCGTGGCATGAAAGAAAGCTGCAAAGGACTGGCTTGTGTTGGTCCTTCACGACTCCCTGGCTGGGGTCCGAGAGATGGTGTTACACAGTGGCTAGAGACGTTATCAGATATGGCTCAGAATAGAAGCCAGTAGCGATCCTGCTGTAACCTTCTTTTACTTTCTTCATAAAAAGTGGTTGTGTCTCCCTTACCTGAAAGATTTCTTCTGACTGTACCTCGTTACTACCACACTACCTTACACCAATCTCTTCGTTATTGTTCTCTTTTTTTTGCGCCCCTTAGCTTTTTTTTCTATTTCTATTCGAATTCTCATTGTTTTGTGTGGCGCATATATATTGGCGCTCTCTTGTACCAATATTTATGTGTTCAAATAAATAAATAAACTGCACTCAGAATCCTGACAAACCCTGTGCCTTATAGCATCAAGGATTACCCGCAGAGGATCTTTCTGAGTATAATATAATGTCGATTCTTATCCCCAAACTTAGGTAAGAATTGACTTAACAGCCGTTATAGTTTTTTACGTTTTTATCCTCTGCATTTTTGTTGATATCAACTTTGTAGAATGTTGTAATTTTACCTGCAAATGATGTAAGTCAAAGGTAAGGAGACTCTTTAATTTAAGGTGTATATGAAATATTTCTAACCAAGATATTGAGATGCACCAAGGTTAACTGTCATTTGAGGAGAGAGCAAATTTGAAGCGTTTCACTGGTTAGTTGTGAACAGGAACCATTCAGTTTGTCGTAATATGCGATACTAACTTTAAACTTGCGCTTGCTAGCTGAGATCCATATTTCAATATATCGAAGTTCATACGTTAAAAGACTTGTTTATAAATGCAGGTCGACTAATAAAAGCGAACACTGAGAACTTCTGTTAGCATAGTACCTTATTACCAGCATTGTAACGTCCTACTAGAGGATTTAAAGACTTAATTTTCCCACCCAGAGGGGACATTTTATTTGACCATGCGCTTTCTTTAAACTGTGGAGCTATACATTGTTTTGGTCGCATGAAGAGGACAACATTAGCCTTAAGTCAATAAACAAAATTACAGTGGTCGACGTCCCCAGTTTAGTTTCACGTAACATGTTATCCTGAATATAAGTTGTATATAGTTGTAACTACCGTTATCAAGGTAAAATATTGTCAAAAAAACAAAGGGATTTTACGTTTATATATATTTTTGAGGAATCTCATTCTGTCATTGTCTCAATGAGTTTTTTGTATGATCTGAAGTGACAACAGAGAAGTAAGCAAAAAAACGAAACGAAAACAAAAGATTTGCATACAAATAAGGAAGGCCAAATTAGAAAATCTCTTTTATGCATTGTAATAATGATAAGAACTAGAACACGATATATTTATAGAAGTTTATGCTCGTGGTAGTATATACTATCTGCAGGCAAAGATCTAACTAAGACGAATGGCAAATAAGTCTCCCAGTTTATATATTACACAGAGAAAACAACAATAAGAAACCAATAACAGAATATTATCCAACAGAGGTAGCAAAATAATTTAAGTAACCTAACCTGACATTCATGTAATAACAACAACCATTAGGAATGGCAAATAAGACAAATGAAAGATATGAGATAAACACATTAATATTGTATTCATGTATAAACAGATACAATTTCATGTGAGCTTATTGAGAATTATTGTGATGGTAGTTTGAACCATTGTACATAATAAAAAACTACTACCAAACATTTTAATTCAGTGATTCAAAGAGAAATAAATAAATAAAGTTATATCGTAAATAGACCATTTTACTTCTTCAATATACAAATTATGAACTGTGAAAGTAGCTATGATAGAATATGAATGATGTGGCTGAAATGAATTTAATATAGAATAAATATTAACAAATAGTATAATGTAAGTAGTATGATTGGAAAAGTCCCACTAACAACTAGTCAAAGGTCTTTCATGCACAAGATTTAAATCAGCCAATATGGAAGAAAAATCGGACAAACGTTGATAATCTTCATCTTCTTCTGCGTAATCTAGCAATAAACAAGCATTATTTTTTGATAAATCATTTGTTGTATAACTTAATTTTCGATTATTTCTGTTATTAGTTTCATTCATAAACCGTTGTTCATCTATGTACTCAGACTGAGAAATACATGCTAAATCTACGGAGTTCTGCTTCCAGTGAATACAATCTGTTTTCAATGATATTTGATTTGAACTGTCTGCTGAATTTTTAGTTGACGAATGATTATTATCATTATTTAATTGATTCATTAACCAATTAGGCATTTGTGATTTGCATTGTGATAAATTTGATACTTGATAACTGCCAAGTACAGGTGGATCTTTTGCTATCATGTTGTGGGATGATAAGTTTTGGTCAAAAGGATTAGCAGGACTGAAATGAGAAATAGTAGCACATGATGGTAGGACTGGTCTACAAGGAAGATCTGCGACTGAATGAAGTGTACGCTGGGGATGGTGACTGGGTAAGTCTGAGTTGGTGACACGATTATTTTCACCCACTTCTGTTTGTGATGATTTGATGTTATAGTTACGATGTTGCTTGGGAATTTCGTTTGGTGGGCCATTTGTCAATTGCAGATCGAACTGTGTAAAGATGGGATTAGCAGTATATTGTGGAAGCTTGAGAGGACATGGAAGCATCTCTGGAATGACAGTCAAATGAGTAACGAGAGCTTGTAGGGATGGCCACTCCTTGTCCAAACCCTTTTAAAGATAAATTTTATATAAAAGTAAGCTTTATACATTTATTAATGTAAGCTTATGAATATATGAATAAATCTGACGCTACAAAATAGAGACAAGTATATTTTAAACTAAATGCTTAAACTAGATATCAATGTAAGAAAACCCCATACAAAATGATCAGATTAGCATTGTCTCAATAAAAAAACTTTTATCAAGTTACGGGTACATGCATAAAACTTTTATTATCATGAATGAATCTAAGTATTAAAAATTTGATTACTTCATGTAATTGAGTTATAAAGTGAAAAATATATGTATAACAAATGGATATAATAAATTCATTGTGTAAATCAGCAACACCAAACTTCTCAGATATCAGGGATTCTTGAATTCATAAAGAAATTCTTAGTTAGTCAGTCATATGCAACGTAGAATCTGACACATATATGCATATATAATACTATCACTGATATTTCAGTTCTGAGAAAAGTGATTAAAATAAATCTAAGCAATATATTAATAAAACTTCCCCGGGCAAAATTAGTTACACCATTCACTTATTAATGTAAATATAATTTAAAGAGTACTTTCAAAATTAAATTAACGAAAATGATTAAATATAATCCAGACGTTACTCTAAGGAACAGTTAGACTATCAAATAAAAGGCGAAACTCTGTACGATATTTATGTAATGTTATCTAACTATATTACTAACAAGTAACTATTACGTCATAGTATATTTTTTTCCTAAATAAACGGAAGGAATTCACTGAGCGAATTTACTGAAAACAGATATTTTCACTGAAACAATCCATCTTGTTTATTTTTATCATTCTATGCTTCATTAATTAATCGGAATCGCATTTAAATCAAATTGATTAGTGTAAATAGTATTTGCTCTCACCACCAGTGGTTGACGTCAAAAATGTAAAACTTGATAACTACATACAATACAAGAAACTCAAACATTACTGATTAGACTCACATGTATAAATTGCAATGAAGTTAAAAGTTTGTCACATTACTTGAGTGTAAACTATTTCAATAAGATAGATTCAAATATGAAAGAGGCTAATTAAATACTTTAAAATAGTTCAAAATTCACCACAAATGCATGCTACTGAGCACATATTAATCTTTAATTAGCCCCTTGGTTAAATGACTATATTTTCTTAGGTTAACACTGATTTCTAATTTCAAACAATCTTAACTCATTAATATATACATTAAGAGATGCTATTGATCTGTAAATCTTAAAGAAGTACACCCAGAAGGTATGTGCAATGTGGATACCATTTCAAGATTTCCATAAATAATTAGACTGAATAAATGTTACACGGTTTTTCGTCTATTATTTCAAAATATAGCCACTCTTATAATAACATTTGAAAGGATCACTTTTTTTTGGTGTTGTTTTGTTCTCTGAGCTGGATGGTTTGGTCGTGGAGCTTTCATCGTTCTTCTGAACGACATCATCAGCACAAACTTCAGATAGAAGTCTGAAGTTTGTGCTGATGATGTCGTTCAGAAGAACGATGAAAGCTCCACGACCAAACCATCCAGCTCAGAGAACAAAACACCAACAAAATCATCCACCTGAGCTACAAATCTTCTCCACCATCTCGAAAGGATCACTGACAAAATATGGAACATTGTATTGCTACCTGAAAGTGCATCTAAATGCAAGTTGTTGCTTCAGGACTGGTCTGCGTCAACACCTGAACTAAGGATAGGGAGTGAAGTCGTCGAACGCGTTGACAACTTCACTTATCTTGGAAGTCTGATCAGCACGGATTCGAAAAGCTCGTTTGGCTTTTGCCAACTTACGTCACCTTTGGCGGAGGCGAGATATCCGTCTATCAATAAAAGGACGAGTATACTGCGCGGCAGTCCGTTGTTTTACTTTACGGCAGCGAAACATGGCCATTAAGAGTAGAAGACACTCGTAAGCTACTAATATTTGACCACAGATGCCTCACAAATATTGCTGGCATCTGTTGGGATCACCGGGTAAGTAATAGTGAGGTTAGACTAAGGGTATTAGGGAATGATGGTAAATCAGTTGATGAGGTTATGCATCTTCATCGACTGAGATGGTTGGGCCACGTATTACGTATGCCTGAACACCGATTACCACGACGTGCAATGCTAACCGGCGTAGGGGATGGTTGGAAGAAAGTTAGGGGCGGCCAAACCAAAACGTCGCATCAGTGCTTGAAGTCACTAACTTCTAGTCTGAGCCATGTTGGTAGATGCAGACTACTTGGTTGGGGTCCGCGTGACTTTCGTAACCAATGGTTGGAGACTCTTGGTGACATGGCTCAGAACCGATCACAATGGCGTCGGTGTATACACTCCCTGTCTTCCCTTAAACTAGGAGATTAAAATCGCTTCATATCTTTCTTTCTACGAACTAATTCTTTCTTCCTATACTATATCCTTATTGCAATCTTTCTCCTTTATATTACCACCTTTGACCTAACCACTCCTATGAATCCGCTGTTCATCTTGCTGTGCTAATGCGGTATGGCAACCTGGACCGATGCACATATGTGCCTGGTCCTACGTTGTAGCTGACTGACTGACCTGAAAGTGCGAAAAACATTCGAAAGACAATGAATCTTCCAAATATACTCAACCAATACTTATTGGCATGTATGTCCATTGAATCACATTAATAAGAAAACCGACTATTACTAATTCATTACTTGTAATAGAAGTGGGTTTTATTGATGGATGAAACGCAAATATGAATTGAATAACAGCTAGTAAACTGGGAAATCATAGAAAAACAGTGTTTTAAAAAGTATCAACGCTACTGAAAAATATGAACAATTAAGATACACACTAGGAAAAAATATCTGACCTTTAACCGAACGCCTCGATTCGTTTTTTGTATTAAGTAATGGGTTATTCCTATAGGATTATCCTTATTTGGCACTCGAACAGATAAAGCACAACAACCAGGATGAGTAGCGCTGTTGCGAACTAAAAAGCTGCCAACCTGAAAATGAAGAAAAAACTCATTAGGGAGAAAATCAAAGGAATTAAATGTTACATTAGTTTATTTCTACTTGCTTAGAGAATAAAACCTAATACAAATAAAAAACCAAGAGATAAATTAAAACAACATACATATACCAGTAAACGAAATAATAATATCTATACTTATTAGGGAGATAACCATTTTTTTCACTGTATCAGATAATAACATCAGTTTACTATAATTCATCTAAAAAGTTCGATTGTACTAATATATCTCAGTTATAAGGAATTATTTTTTTATTCCACAGAGCTATTATGTAAAGCGGTCACATTTTCATTTATTGAAAGGAAGTCATTGCTCTTAGTCAGTCTACAATGAATTTACGAACAAACATAAACTGTAAAATCTCTTCAGTTTAGACCACACAAATTTGCAGAATATCGTACTTAATGTATAAACTGTTAAACAAATTAATCAATGGCTTTAGAACGGGGGAGAATGGATCAAACAGGTGTGTGATTATGTTCTTTAACTCTATACAAGTAAACATACAGTTAGCCTTACAAGATTACGTAGGTACAAATGATTGTGTGCATATACATTTTGTATCAAGACAAATTATGCATGTATATATGATTATTACTGACAGTCGTCGTTATTCGGATTCTTTCGGTCACTCAAATCTATTACCTAATATTATATCATATTCTAATGTTAATACGAACACTATTATAAGCAAATGAAAAGAAACTATGAAATATAATGAATTCATACTATTCAGCCTCAATGAACGTTTTGGCTTTATTCAAAGGGAACTAACTGTATGGAATAATTCATTAAAACATTTAGTTAGAAATAAAATATATATTATTCAGTATACTTAATATTTTTCAAATAATGTGATACTTTATCATCTTTAACCGAGAAAAAAATCGATACCTCTTCTTTAGCGAGCAATTCAAATGCTATTTCTCTGGGTAGCATAGCTTGAAACCAAGGCGCTTGATTTAAAGAATTATCGCTGTCACCAGCATTTTTATTACATCCCTGAAACTGAGAGGTTTGTTCAGGAGTTGGTGTGGGAGTGGCAGTTGGTGTTGGAGTCTCTGTTGAAAGTGATGACGTCGACATTATCGATCCTGGTGTAGGCATAACACGAACATTGCTAGATACGGTTGAAGGAAATATTTGCTTTCTATGTGTATCTTGAAATGTTGTATCGGCCAAAACTTGGAGTGGATCATGTAAAGAAGAACTAACAAAATTCATATCAGGTGTATATGAATGAGGTTTTTCTTGTTGGGTATCATTTCGATTGAGTTCAATAAGTTGTTCAAAAGGATACTGTGGTTGAGGTTGAGAGCCCATATTACCAAGAAGATGAGAGTTTCCAGAAGAGACGTGTATATTTCCATGAAATTCTGATGATCTAGTACTATTTTGAGTTTGCTTGTAAACACTAGGTTGGGAAATCCTAATAAACCGATGAATACAACCACATAGTTAACATAAGAACTAATATAGTTGACAAAGTTTGTATATTATATATTAAAATATTAATCGATACTATAACAAAAAAGTATTTAGTGTTAAGAAGACAGAACATTTATAAAGTTATGTATAAAGTATGTAAGAGATCAAATATAGAAATGAGAGAATGAAAATAATTGACCTAAGAGTTCATTCTAAAAAGAGACTATTGAAATATTCCATAAAAGATATGAATTTATAACTGGATTTTTATGTGATTCTTAAATCTCTAATTTCTAAATGAAGAAGCTAATTTGATTAACAAAAGTTTAAACTGAAAAATAATGTTTGGAAATACCACGGGAACTATTCAATGCTATTCGCACAAGCTGAAAACAGTAATAAATAATTGGAACGGAAAATCACAATATCACGCACCTTTGTCCCGTGTCAAATTTTGCACGATCATCTCAAATTCGAAAAACACTAGGTGACCAGGATCAATGTTCGATTTAAGTAAAAGCAGAGTGTTAGACAACTGAAATTAAGTTGTAGATATATCGAGCTGTTCGCTAAAGTAATTAACTAAACATTCCCGTTTAATATGTTGTTTCTCATCAACTTGTTTCGTACTTGTACTGGTAATCGTCCACTTTGTTTTTGGGATCACAATACGGAAAACAAATCTCTATAGTTCTAAGTTCTTTTTATAGTATCGTCAATGGGAAAACTTGAACAAATGACTACCGAAGATAAACATCACAGAACTTTGTAAAAAAATATACTTTTAATTCGTAATAGCAATAATTTACAACTAGGGAACAATTCATCATATAGATGAAATAGTTATCGACCCTAAAATAATATGACAAAAGAGGTAATGATAATTTTAGGGGAGAAATAAAAATGCAGTATTACCTTGAACCATCTATATATTGCTGCTTGAAATCCTTTGAATGACAAGGTACATCAGGGACATCAACCAATAAAGTAGTGTTACGATATGAAGTAATGTTGGAAGGATTGCATTCTGTATTTTGATGCTTTGGTTTTGTTTCTTTTGGACTATTTGAATCATATGATGCTGCTTTCATAACAGCTTCGATTGACTCTACAATTTCACGATCTTCGTCTTTATCTAATTCATTAAATAAGTCTTCAGGTACAGGACTGGAAGTTGATAAATGAGGTGAGAAATTCTTTGAGTTATACTGTTCATGACTTCTTCTGAGTGAATGCATTCTTAAGATAAATTAAATAAAATTAGAAGAGTAAGTTAAAGTTTAATACGTATACTAACTAATTATAAAACAATTATTCACCAAAAATATGGACTATTCTGAAACTAAAACAAGACAGGCATTTTATAAACTCCTAAGAAAACTATATCTGCTGTAGAAATATATAGCTTTATTGAAACCAAATTATACTAATTTGAAGTTGAAATACCTTTCAAGTAGTGTCTATAATCCATTAAAAACGCATACATTACACATTGTATACATGTGGGCTAAGTAAACATTTTAAATTATTTACTAATAAACAGTTGTTGCTGCATTGACTATAATGCACTTATGCATAAATATCATGCAAACTGATATTCAGATTAAAATTCAGTCAGTTACAACGTGGAGCCTAGTACATATGTACATGGGTTTAAGTTGTTACAGTCCATTAACACAGAAAAATGAAACTGTCAGGTCAAATCCCAGAATAGTAGAAGTAGTAACAATATCGGTAGTAATAGGAAAGATTAGGCAATGAGGACTCTACTCGAGAAAATATGAATTAGTGAAATAAAAACAAAAAACTTATGAGGAACTTAGAATCTCAGAATGTCGGGGGAAGACAAGGAAAGATGACTAGTTAATTAATTGGTAAAAACAAGTCATTTACTTTTTGCTCAAATGACATAAAGAACATTTTACACTAAAAATTGCAAAATTTGCTTAATTATTGAAAAAATGGGATTTCATATTTAGGGACAACAAAAGCATGTGAAATAAATTTCCACCATAAAACAATATCATGAAAAACTAGGGGAACAGACTTTTAAGTATGAATCCTAAGTGTTATACCTTGTAAAGAATAAGTGTGCGTACTTATAATAAGATACTTAAAGGTATCGTATATATTCCAATAATACAAGTTATTGAAATGATGTTATCTAGGAAGACAATAATGGTTACACAAACTATCTACTCCATAGGATGCAGCACCTCCAAATTTACAATGTATTATGTTCATGTATGTAAGTTAAGAGATGAATCCATGAAATATATGTCGATTTTGTGTTCAGACTGAATTAAGTGTAATCCAAGGATACACAAGATGTCGAGGAAAAAGTAACATAAATCGACATAAACGTAAGAATATATATATAGAGAGAATTTACCTAATTATAACCCCCTTTCCACAATTAATTACTACGATTGCAGTAATAACGCAATAATATACGATGTATAAGAAAGAAAAACAGATTTATGTAATGTATCCCAGACATAAAATTAGCATAATATTAACATACATGAAATAAAAACTCTGTAAACAATCTAATATTTAAGTGCTTATGGAAAGAAAGAGAGAAGTAAAATTATTATTTTCTAGTTATGCTCATTATGCAGATTATAGTGGTAATTTTTTTAAAAAACTACAAATTCATTCAGACAACATAATACTCTTAATTCATTAACACCTGACTGGAACAGAAAAGGGGAGAGAACTAATTGATATGAACAAGAAACGCCTAATTTAGGCGGATACCTAAAAGACTACTTATAACTAAATGTGTATTAGTCAGTGGTTTTATTGAACAACATAACTTTAAAAAAGACAAACGGATAGCTAAGAAATACCCTTATTTTAATGTGAATTATGACACAGAGTTAACAGGTTTTCCTTATTACATAACACATACTACGTGAAATTCTACCTAACACGTTTATCAATAACTGACTACTTAGTAATATCTGTATTTATATTAATCCTTTCCGATGGTTCTGTCATGAGAATTAATCCATCAAAATCTCTTCCAATGATGGATTTATCTATACTAATAAAGCTATCACATAACAATTAACCATAGTTTTGTAGTGTATCCCTTTTACTACATAAACAGAGGTGTGAACAAATATGATTCATACGTAAAAATATTTACTAGAAACTTAGACTACATACATTTGCTTACGAAAGATTATCTTTAAAAAAAACAGCACTTATACCGTAGTTTGTGAAATCTAATAACTCTATATGATCACATTAAGACTATTTTTACAGTCAGGATCATCGGATCCTCAGATTACTAGACTAGTCGATAACATAGACCGTAAACAAAATTAGTTCTTCTTTACCAGAACGTTGGAACATGAGATATGAGTGAATTTTAAATTCCCTCTATGTTAAAAGCAATCTTCGAATATATAATGACTTTAACAGAAGAACAATATGTCATAAGTGATGCGAGGGTAAACCCTGTACAGCCTGTAAAAACGAAAATTTACATAAATGTAAACATTAACAGTCTTTATTGATAAAACATTATAATCTGTATGGTGATTCCTTTTACATCTTTTTAAATTCCTTATAACTTTATTGGTTGTAAAGTGTGACATGCTGAATAAAGAAAATATTATACCCAGTTATGAAATCTATATTTATTTGTCTATCTGTTTATCTTTTTCGCTGTCAAAACAGTAAATCATAAAATACAGTATACATGAAAATGAATGCCTAATATAGAAATTATGATTCACTTATATTAAAGCAAACTGTATAAACAAATGCTCTTTCTAAAGTTTCTTTTTTTAGGTTCCAATATTGGCAATACATTAATTTAAATAAAACAAATGCTACAAACAGTATGTTTTTCTTTAAAAAAAGAAAGATTTATCACTTACAAAGGAAATAGATTGGATTTATTTAATATACACTGGAGAATATCGATTCACTTTTTATTCTGTGAACAGTCAAAAAAGACCGATTGAAAGAAAACTTATTGTTTAGAAAAAAAATTATTTTAACGGATCCTAATAAGCCCACAATTGATAAAAGATGAAAACATAAAGTAATTTTAAATCCCTGAGAGTGATCTAAAAGGGCGGCCTGCTCGAGCATCTGGGCTACCTGTTCCTGCCATCTAGATATTTCACCAAGTTTTCTATTTTTGTTTGTTTCAATATATAATTATGTCTATTAATCGCATAACCTATTCTGCTGCGTTTCTGAAAAGTGTACAACCTTTCGTTGTCAAAGTTACAAAAAACTCAATAAGAGACAATCTGGTTGCTGGCAATATACAACGAAAAGAATGCACATTATTCAGTGAACTGCTAACATCTAACAGGCGATCACTCAATGTTTATCGCCAGGACCGACCAAGAAGAAAGAAACGGAAACTTGTTGAAATACTTTGCGCTGAGAATTCTATATTGTAACAAAAATATAATAATGAATAAAGCTGATAATAATAATAATAATAATAATAATAATAATAATAATAATAATAATAATTCAATCTACATGGAATTAAGTGAAGCAATATTCTAACACAACTAGATAGCTAATTTTAGAAAAAAGGTTTCTACGCTAGAAAACAGACTAAACATTTTGAATGAATGAAAATCTAACACTTTTCGCATGTGTATCATTAATGGTTAGTGATATTAATTTTAAGAAAGAGTAAATATATCAATATATCTTGACAGTTTCTTAGCTGTAGAATTCTTGAAAATGTGTTCATGGAAGCTCTGATTTGTAAGAATTAAGAACAACTAGAATGCAAAGTGATAAAACATTCATGTTATGATCACGGGTAGTAATGGATAGAGAAAGTAAATGAGAGGAACACAATAACAATAGATATTTGTTTAATACTATCAATGAGATAGTTGAAAACGCTGGGAGTCAGCAGAAGATAGGTTTGCTCTCAGATCTGGCTAATCGACTGAGAGCACTTTGAAAGATAATTTAAATCAGATGTAAATACTCTTCATTTGTCAACTAACAACCAGGAGATGGAATGGGGCATGAAAAAATGAAGTCACATAAAAAAATAACAATAGTCGAAAATAGTATAATGCTACTCTATAGGGAAAGTAGAATTACCGGTAAGAAATCAGAAGTAGTGATTAGTTTCGTATGTATGTATTGCACATAGGGCGCACAAATAATAAGGAATACACTCTTTTCTCTCATATAAATTTATATGTACGTAATTATTTGTAGACTGCACACATTCTTAGTATTAAATATCAGACGTTTCGTGGAGAAATATATTTTAAGGAAAAAAAGTTCAATCTTGGACTGATTCCCCTCACATGGTAACAATAAACCGTTTTTCACCTTTTTATACGAAAATGATTGACGACATAATTGCATCTAACCACTCCTGAATAGCTGTAAACAAATACACAAAGATGGATAGACGATAAAAATGATCTGTTCCCAGAAAACTGTACAAGTGCGCATGTGTATACAATAAAATAGGTGTGTTTATCTATCGCATAAGTTACCAGTCTGGTTAGTGTGGTGCATTGATTTCCTTAGCATTTTATTTTCCTCCCCCAAAAAAACTCAAAGCAGATACATAAATATATGATATGATGTATAAATTTTTACCGTTTCGCAATATGATTTATCAAAAGCTTCTGAAGAGCCCTTGAAAAGAATAAAATGAAGATCGAACAATCGAGAAACAATATTTGTAGGACATTAAAGTCTTGTACGCAGTGTATTACAATAAAGCGATGATTATCAAAAAAAGAAACAGTACTAATTAATGATCATTGACTTAGGGTATGCTATGGAATGTGAGAGAAGTTGAAGTAGTAACTAGGATCTTATCTTTTGTACTCTTATTCAAAAAATCATTATGCTTGTCTGGTTTGATATTTTGACTCGTTGACATACTCTGAGAGTTAGTTGAAGTTATAGTTAGATCCTTTGACTTAGTGTATAGTCTTGTTAACATCTTACCGAGTCTTGTTCAGTATAATCTAAACAGGAATAAAAATCTCATACATTGACTTTTGAATTAAAATATTTGTCTTGCTTTGTAAAAGGGAATTACCCTCCATTTCATAAACAAATCTTATATATCTACTATTGAGCTTTTCAGATATAAATTGATTTTGAACACCTAAAAACTCGATTCTAGACATTCTTAAGTTTGAATCTTATGTTCTAATAGTTGTGCATTAGAATGTAGGTACCAAATCATTTAGCGAATTTGAATATGTTGACAATTCCACAACTAGAAATTGTGTTTGAAGTATCATTCAAAACCTGTAATACGGCAAGTTGAAGCTGAAACAGTGATAAAGAATTGTCATTACATTGTAAAGCCATTAAGGTGTGCACTATAGCCGTAAGACTGATGATTTTAAAATGTATTGAGAATCGAATGGACATAAGCTCATTACTGAGATTAACGAAAGGTAGTTTGAATATACCTTATTCATCATAATTATACTTATGACGATGACGATACCAAAGCAAATAAACTGCTAATTTCTGTAGTCAAATAATTAAAGAAATGTGGTAATATCTAAACAATGTTTTGAAAGTGTATATTTTAATTAAAAGTGTATCAGCTGACCACATTGTATTATTGCGCATCATCTATCATCAAGCAAAATATGTTCGTAACAAATCATAAAACAATCGTTTATGACAATTAACGAGACATTTCAGTTCACTTGAGTACATGTTGACCGAAGTCAGATACCGTCTATTTTTTTGGTAAAAAATTCATAAATAAATTTTGTTGTCTGGATGCATTGTTGTATATGGGAAGTCTTCGAATAAACTTGTCAACGATTAATTAATGGTAGAAATCAAACGCTTTTTGCGTGAAAAGAAGAGTATTTTTAACAGTATAGCAATATGGATAAGATCCTGAGGATGGACTGAGTGAAATTAAACAAAAAGGAAATATGATCTGATAGTTTAGAATCGGAGAAAAAAGTGTTTAACTAGTTATGTACTCAAACATCCCAGAATGTACTGTCTTCCCTTGTTTATAAAGAGAAAAGAATTAGAGTTTACATAATCTAAGCAAAAATCTAAGTAAGCTGACAATTTTGAATAAGGAAATACAGTATCAACGTACCTGACTGGTGGTATAGGTGGAGATAAATCGAAAGTTTCTACCGATGATGAATTTCCACTGGATGGCGAGTTAGGAGTACGACTGGTAATAGGACACATTGTTGGTTTAGTCAGCCGTTCTACATTTTTTGAGGTATTGTTCGTGGCTGGTTGCAAAGGAGCTAAGGACCTGGATGACACCTGTTTTGCAGCTGCAAGGACAGCTGCAGCCTCGGCAAAAGCAGATGCCTTAGCATCTGCAATAGCTTGAGCATCCAAACGTTCTTTTAGTGCAACAACTGGACTTCCTCCGGCAAAAGTACGGAGATCCACAAATATAGGTGGTCTGCGAGTGGGGTTAGGAGTGTTCAATATATCAGACACATCCGGAGTTTCTTGTGACTGTAAAGTTTTGGGGAGGATATTTGTACTGTCAATAACACAACTAGAAGAGCTTGGGAAAAATGAGCTGTGCCGTGCAGACGACAGGAGATTTGAGAGAGTTGAACCTTGGCGTAAGCGGGGTTGCCTGGCACTACCACCACAGACATTTTTGGGGTTTTCAGATCCTTTGCCCTCACTTCGTCGAAGAAAATGACGACGTAAGAATGCCAAATCTATGGCTTGTGGAGTCGAAATGCGGTGAAGTCTACCAAAGTAAAATATATCGGTTAGAGATTAATAAAACCATACAGTAAAAGAATTTTAATGTGTGATTTACCACTAGTTCGCAAAAGATTTAATTTGTTATCAACCAACCTTTTCTATACAGAAAACTTATCGATGTATAACAAAATATGAGTCTTCAAATCTGAAGTATAACTGATAACAGACAGTTACATTTGCTAATGATTGAAAACGGTTAGGCAGTATATGCATCAGGCAGTAATTCGGGTAATGATATGATGACTAACAAATTAACAAACTGATTTGAACTAAAGAAATACTGAAAGATAGGTATCATTGGATAACTACTTTGTTTTAGTTTGGAATTATTAAGACGTATGCGTCCACAACATCATCAGCACCATTAGGTATCAAGATCACTGAATCGAAAGCCAACGGTCTACATTTTCAGTCTATCTTATGCAGTGAAAGACGTCGAGTGATACCAAAACATTAGGAAAAAGAAACTTAGTGATTATAACGGTCGAAATAACAGACAGTAAGATAACATTTGCTTAAGTACATCAAAAAGTTCTGTGGTCTACTGTGAAGCTGATGTCAATCTTTTTCTCACACATCTAGCGTAATGTGCGTTAAAAGTAGTATATAGCAGGAGTCGGAAGTGGGATGCCTGCCAGTAGAAAACTGAAATAAAAAGAGGGAGGAAAACAGAGAGAAATCAAAATAACAGGATTGCGAGAATGAGTATGAGTATGTAAAGGACAACTGAAGGAAGATGTGCAAATGATGTATTTAATATATGATTTTAATATTTTGCAAAGGAACTGTGTGATGTTGCATAAAACAATCGATTGGTTTTCCTCACCAATTCCTCTTTCACTACACTAGTTGGCACAGCAATGTTTAGTCTAACTTAAACGTTTGATTTCCCCTTCCGAATGTTGTAAACAAACTAGCAAAAGTAAGTGATATAAGCTATAGAATAAAAATCGACATAACATATTAAGTAAAAAAAACTTTATCATTTTGTTTATATATTATAAGAGAAATTTATCATCTGGAGATATAATATGATCCAACTGAATGGTTAAAATGATTTTAAGTAATCTTACTAGAAACCTCTACCCTTTTTGATGATCTAAACTTGCATGAACTTTCAAAACATCTTTGTAAAATTTCTGATATAAAATCAAATGATCCCATTGAAAATGAAAATTGAATGATATGATCTAGTTGGTATGTGTAATCATTTTAATAATCCACAGTTAGATGATACATTTAGTGTAATGTTTCTGTTTTTTAAGGATACTATGTTGAAAGATGAAAAATTTACTGCTTAAATATACATTTTGGACATACTACTAACACAATGTCTCAATTTAAAACTATGTCGTTTATTAAAATTATTCTCAAGTCAACTGGCTTGCTAGTACAACTTGAAATAATGAACCCCACGTTTACGGAGCGAAACACTTTTTGTTTAGTAGCGATACAATATGAAACAGGATGATACCAAGCAACCGACTACGCTGTTGTTACAAGAAGTTAATGAGAACCAAAATTACCATCGTTAAAAATTCACCACATAAATACAGGAATTCAGTGAGTCCATTTTCTAACATTCAGAACTGATTAACTTTAAGCTAATCAGGCTTATTTAAATCAAAAACAGATATAGAAATTATCATAATAAAATTATTTCCTGCGAAATATCAGTAAAACAAAAGATATCTTCTTAATTCATATACAAACGGCGACATAAGATCGTGAACGAGACTAGTTTTTCTGCAAAGAATGCCTTAAAATTAAGTTATATATATATTCACGTTTCGTGTTCTACTATTATAAAATAGTGTATACACAAGAAGCAATAAAATACAATATGATTTATGAAATAATTCCCATGAATATTATCATAAACTGAAACCTCTCTCAAATATGATGGCAACTAGTAGATAACCTTTAATTCTATTAATTCCTTCATCGACAATGAATCACCATTTGTACAGGAAAACACTTGTTTCGAATATCCATATGTAAAGGTCAGTGACTTCTCTCCACCAACACAAAGATATATATATATATATATATATATATATATATATATATATATATATATATATATATATATAACATAAATGCAAACAAATAATCAAAACAATGGACTATTGTTACTAATTTTGATACGAAAATTCACTCACTTTTTCTCCAGTTCACTAGCATCTTTATTAGACTGACTGTTATTGTTTAGTCCTTTATCTCTGACTAGTACAGAATCTGAATGAACAGAAAGTTGGTTAGGATCGTTATCTGACGAAGAGGATGAAGTTGTTGGATTTTCTACTGTCACAGGTAAAGATTCATGCTTAATAATGCCTTTTTTGTACATATTTACAGTAGATGATTCGAGTGAATCATGGCAGAAAGTAGACATAATAGTGCTAGTACTAGCGACAGGATCATCACATGTTGAAGTAACATCTGTATTGGTGTAATGGATGCCAGGAGATGACAGATTAGTTTGCCGTTCGGCTGTAGTTCCATTTTCGATTGAAACGGGGGGAGGGAACTCTGGAGGTGGGGGGAGTTTAAGAGTGCTTAACAAAGAAAGACTGTTGGGATTTTGTTCAGTTTGAGGAAGCCAAACAGGATGACAATCGCTAAGTTGAGGTATATTTACTGGAGTGGAAAAATCATGTTTTCCAGCTTGATGAAGCTTAATAAGGCGCTGTCGAACATAGGCAAATTTGAAGGCGTTTCCAATCAGCCGATTTAATTCTTCCGCCTGTTTAAAGAACAATAAATACATCGCACAACAATCAATTCCATTGAACTCTGAGAATAATTAGTTGAGTCAGTATTTAATGCCTAATGAAAATAATGGAAGTATATCTAAGTCTGTTAAATGAAATGATACTGAAATCCAGTCAAACATTTAGATAAAAAATATAATATAAAGTTATTGGACAGTAAACAATCTAGTAGTGTACTAGCTACTATTGTTCAGCGATATCATTGCTTAACTAAGGTGCATTATATAATTATTACGTGTACTTATGAACAAAAATAAAAAATTCATAAGTTATTGAAACTAAAATCCGGTTTTGATCAAAATTTTACTAACAAGCAATCATTAAATAATGTAGGGGAAAGTTATCTTAGTGAAATGAATGGAAAAATAAAGCCGGTTGCAAAATAACGGAATTTTTACACTATCGGACCACTTTTAGAATACACATCAAACTAACGAAGATACTAAAAAAAGCACCTCACATTTGTAATACTAAGCCGGTGTAAGATGTAACTTTGAAAAACTGTGTAACTATAATTGCCGAGTAAGTAACATTTTAGTTTTTTAATTATTTGTTCAAGCATTTAACACAGTAATAAGAATATCACAGATTTATATGATATTAAAACAACTTTTTTGAATGGATATCCAACTTATCTGGTCACTAATTAATCATTTTGTTTTCTGCAATTTTTCCTCATTAAAAGCATCTAGATAATGTGAATCTATTATCACAATGCTCGATATTTGAATTTGAACACAGTATCAAAATCATAGAAAGCTAGGGGTTAGACTGAATAAATGTGACCCATATAGTAGTCAGATTCTACATTTTGTAAATATACATTAATCAATCGATTACCAGGGTCTGAACATTTTCACAGTGGGATATAGTTAATGGCATTTTAAAGCACAAAATAAACTGTTGAATTTATTACTTTCATAACAAATAATTTCCGGGTACGCCAAAAAGATCGGTTATCTATATTTGTCCAATCTATAAGATTCCTAGTAAATTAAAATAACGGATAATATGCATGTCTGCAAGAAAATTTAGGCAGTCATAAGTTGAGAAATTAATCAAGGTTATGATGAGAGACATGAAGGAAAACTGAAGCAGACTGTGCACTGCAATATAATGAATGATATCTAAGTGGAACATAATCGACAGAAAAACCTTTTCATACCAAGCGAAATAAACAACCTTATTGACTGACTCTAAACAGAACCAGTAACAAATATTAGAACAAGAAACGGACTCTTTATGTATAGTCAACAGGTTGTTGATTAATTTCCCGACAGTAGTGGGTTAAATACGTTGATATGTATTTTGAAATCGATTTCAGGAATATTCCGCGGCAAAAACGCAAAGTTTCGTTCGATTTTTATTGACATCAAATACTATAGATACATATGTTTCTAAGCAAGACTAAAACGTTTTGTGTTTGTATGATGTAACAAAGAAAAAATACTTTTGTAGATAGAACAGATATCTGATGTAACACACTAGAAATCAAAAGCAACTTAATTAACATAAATGGTTGATGAGTCATTTACAATGAAAAATAGTTCAAAAAACTGATCATCAAGATATAAACCAAAAAGCAGTTTACAGTCTATACTATTTTTTAACGAATCTGAAAAGTAGATGATTGATAAGAATGGGATTGTAATAATAATATATATCACAGTTTCGAGACAAATTGGAAATAAACTATTCTTGTCACATGCAAGGATGGGAAATCGGTGACGATGCAGATTCTAGAAAAATAACAAACAAAATATTTAAATTTCACAACAGCACAAGAAAACTGAGTCAAAGAGGAACAGAACATAATTAAATACATAATAACAGAACATCCAAGACTTGAAGATAAAAAATGTATACAACAAGGTCTTCGACTCCTTCTACGAAGATCAAGTTTTTCTGCACTGACAAGAACAACATGTTTATACAATCTTTAATGAACAATAGATAGTAAATATATGAGGCAATAAATATATCCGTAGTAAAAGCTATTAGTGTAAATGCCAATTAAAATCTTGGTTAAAAATAAGGAATAAAAGGGAGGAAAATGCCAAAAAAGATAACTAAAAGTCTCACACAAACACTCGTTCACTAAATAAAGGTGGGACATATTATGGAGCATACTATCTGGGCGGGTTACAACTTATATTTCAAGAATAAAAGATGGAAACGTCGAATTACTTCCTATTTTTGATTGGATAAAATGAGGTAGTGATTCTGGAATTTTCTAAATTGGGTTCAAAAATAATTAATACCGAAACTGATGGATGTAGTTACCTTCAGAAACTCCGGTCAGCTGGGTCGGTCTTAAACATGAAATAAAGGAAAATGACATTCAAACAACGTTCACCGACGCTGTAGCTGACTGACAACTGCTACCAAAACATTCCGTCTTAACTAATTGGCTGAATGTCCTTATGAGGTCTGTTATCATGACAATTACATTGAAGTTATACAGCTGTTTTCTTGCTGCTTTAAATTAACAGTGAGTTTAAGGCAGAACATCAGATGTAGGGATTCCTCAATTTTCCATTAACGATCAGATGCTCAAAAGGACATGGTGGTTATATAAACTTAGTATCTGAAGGACGACTTGAAGTATGTAGTAAATGGTCTAACCATAATCATTCGTCGAATAGTGTCCACGAGGCCAGTGAATAAATCAACAAAACTGTCAGGGATCTGTACTTATACTTACTCTTCGTTGTAAACAACTGGAAACAGTCGACAAACTCGCGTATCTGAACAACTGTGTAAGACCTGATGTGGCACACGAGACCAATATACGTATTGTGAAAGAAAAGGGTGGCTTATTTCGACATGACCCACTTTGGCAGTGTATTGTTGTATTGGCTGCAAAACCTCATATACAACACACTCATAAGTTTTGTTTGATGCATGCTTAGAGTGAACCCTCTAAAGTGACAACGTTAAGCGTTGTTGTTTACAAAGAACTGCTTGTATCCTATGTTATTTTTTTATTTTAACACATAGATATTGGTGCAAGGAAACACCAAATGCATATGCGCCACACAAATCTCATTTGATATGTGTGAGGGCTGTGATACTACCCGGGTGCCCAAACCGAAGCAGTGTGATTGTTATTAAGGTTACGTAACATATATTGGGGATAGTAAAGCTGTTGGATTAATAAATTTTTCGGTTTTAAAATACCATTTGCAGTTATTTGATCACTTTTATATATGCCGCTCGGTGGCTGAATGGAATGGTTGAATATACCACTCGAAATGTATTGTTTACTACTAACTAGCCCTTTCTGATCGGTTGTACATTTTTGCCTTCGATATTTCTGTAAGGTGGCGCTCTCACTGTGAGATCCATTTTCTGGTACCCTACAGAGCCAAAACTTCCTCAACGTATTGGAAATTCACCAATGAAAGTTTACTTATGAACTGATTTATAAAACCAAACTCATCACAAAATGAAAGAATAGAAAAGCCACAGTTAACAACCGTTTTTTGACTACCAAGCATCATCATAAAGTCGTACACAATTACGACAGTTCCAAGAAAGTGACACATCGAAGTGAAACCTGGCACAAATGTGTGCCGAAACAAATCGCAACACTTCGCGTCAACACAGCAAAAAAAACTAACAAGCGAAAACGGAAATGATAGTGATAACTAGAAAAATGTTAAGGTAACAAATGAAAATAGAGAATCAAGAGTAGAAAATGTGTCTAACAAATAAAAAAGGGAAAAATTACGCTACGCTGTTGACATAAATTTCGAGTTACGTAGATGTTTTTCCAAGTCAAAATTTAAGGTTATCACATGAACCACAAAGAGGAGGTTCATTAGTATACTTAAGTCAGTCAGTTCAACGTGACGTAGAACCCGGCACATCGGTTCAAGTTGCCGTCCCCCCATTAGCAAAGCAAGATGGAAATGTTAGAGCGAATTAACAGAGTAGTAGAATTAGTAAAATTATTCTTAGTATGAGGAGAGATTAGGTAGAGAAAAAATATATAGGGAGAATTCGGGTGTCAGGTTATAAAAGAACACCAGAAGTGAATGCACATGCACTATTACAAACGACACAGTTTGTAACCGTTGGTTACGATAATCACGAGGGCCTCAATCAGGCAGTCTGCACGTATTAACATTAGACCAGTTCAATTGTTAACCACTTCATGGATTGATCGCGCGCCTTGGTTTGGCCGCCTCTATCTTTCTTCTATCCTACTCATACACCAGATAACATTGCCTACCGAAGTAGATGGTGATTGGACATTCATTTATTTAAACAGATAAAAATTAGTGCAGGGAGGCACCAAATATATATGCGTCACAAATATCATTTGGTTTGTGTGAGGGCTGGGCGCCCAAACCAAACCAGGTGGTCAGTTGATGAAAATCTATCACTTTATCAATCGATTCGCCATCGTCACCTAGTACCCCATTACTAATTCAGTGGTCTCAAAATATACGAGCAATACTTCGAATTTATTTATTTGAACACACGAATATTGGTACAAGAGAGCGCCAATATATATGCACCACACAGAACAATGAAAATTCGAGAGGAATACAACGAAAGAAAAAAAAGCTAAGGAGCGCAACAAAAAGAGAACAATAACGAAGAGATTGGTGTAAGGTAGTGTGGTAGTAACGAGGTACAGTCAGAAGAAATCTTTCAGGTAAGGGAGACACAACCACTTTTTATGAAGAAAGTAAAAGAAGGTTACAGCAGGATCGCTACTGGCTTCTATTCTGAGCCATATCTGATAACGTCTCTAGCCACTGTGTAGCACCATCTCTCGGACCCCAGCCAAGGAAACGTGAAGGACCAACACAAGCCAGTCCTTTGCAGCTTTCTTTCATGCCACGACACCATGTCATGCACTGATCACCTCTCCGCTTCTTCCAACCAGTCCCAGAGTCGGCAAATAATGCACGACGTGGAATTCTCTGGGACGACATTCGTAGAACATGTCCAAGCCACCGAAGTCAGTGTTTCAAGATGGTGACACCAATTGAATTATCATCTCTGTGTCCGAACACACGATGCTGAACCTCTGCATTACTGACATGGTGTTGCCACTGAATATCAGCAATCCTTCGGAGACAGCGATGATCGAACACAGAGAGTCGTCTAACGTCCTCAACTCGGAGAGACCAGGTTTCACAAGCATAGAGCAAAACTGCTCTCACCGACGCGTTGTAGATCCGACCTTTTACAGCCAGACTAACATCACGAAGGCGCCAAAGGTGGCCCAGATTGGCATAAACCGCTCTGGCTTTCACTATTCGTGCATTGAACTCATCACTCATACCCCCACCAGCACTTATGCAGCTACCCAGATACACGAACTTCTCGACTACTTCTATCTGCTCACCATCCAGGGTGAGTACAGGATTGGAATCCTGCCAGTCTTGTAGAAGTACTTTGCACTTCGAAGGTGCAAAGCACATACCATACCTACGGACAATGATTGTCAACTGATTAAGTGCGGATTGCATGCCTTGGGCATTATCGCATAGTAAGACAATATCATCCGCATACTCAAGGTCGAGAAGTCTTTCTCCAGGCAACAGATCCACACCATCATTACTTACATTCATCAGAGCTGTTTCTAGAATGTCATCGATGGCAAAGTTGAAGAGGAATGGTGAGATTGGGCAACCCTGCCTAACCCCACTGCTCGAATGGAACAATGGAGAGAGGTGGTTGTATGCCCTCACTCTGCCTGAGGTGTTTGTATATAGGGCTTTTGGGATATTAATAAACTTCTCAGGCATACCCTTCTTCAATAGACAATTCCAGAGAACAGTCCTATCCAACGAATCGAAGACAGCCCTGATGTCAAGAAACACTACGATTGTTGGCCTTTGATAAGTATGGCGATGTTCTAACATTTGGCGAAGGGTGAAGATATGATCGATACATCCTCGACCAGAACGAAACCCAGCCTGCTCCTCGCGAGTTAATCGTTCTCGGGTTTTGAACAACCTACGAAGTATGACGGAAGCCAATAGCTTGGACGCAATCGGAAGTAGACTTATTCCCCGATAGTTGTTACAGGAACGACGTGAACCCTTTTTAAAGATAGGGACAACTACCGACTCATTCCATGATGTTGGTACACTCTCTAGCTCCCAGACATTTGTAAACAACATATTCAGTTCCTTATTTCGAAAGTTACCACCATATTTAAAAAGAGCCGGAGGTAAGTCATCTGGGCCAGGTGATTTGCAGCGTTTCTGAGTTGGAGTTCCTTGCGGACTTCCTCCTCGTTTGGTGGATCAGTCGTCACCGGCCATGGAGGTCAGGACAGTCTGACCGATGCTGCCGGAGCAGCAGGTCAGTGGAACTGCCCTTCGAAAAATTCTGCCCATCGTCCAAGACGTCGATGGATGTTAGGGATTGGCATTTCATCATCCTCGCAGATTGTTCCACTCACACCAGACTTCTTGCTGCTAGTGGCTCGGATGAGCTGGAAGAGCTTCCGGTAGTTACCAGATGCAGCTGCTGCTTCCAGCTCATTAGCACGCTTCGACCACCAGGCTTCTCGGTCCTTACGCAAGCTTTGCCCAATTTCCTGACGTAACATCCTTCGTTTATGGTCAAACTCACGGTCACCCGGAGTAGACCGACGGGCTTCAATGAGTTGTAAGAAACCAGAAGAAACCCAGTGCTTATAAGCGGGACGTTTCGCGAACCCACAGCTGACTGTACCCGCCATTTTCATGGCGTCATGCAATTGCAACCAATGCTCATCTATACTTTTCGGTGGAGTGGTAGCTAGCCTAGAGGCTAGCTCGGTTCGATACTTACTTGCAACAGAAGTTGCAACCAGCTTGCTAATAGCAATCCGTTGATGGTGGTCACTTCGTTGTCCACTGAAAAGTAAGGCAAGATTGGCGCAGATCAAGGCATGGTCAGAGTCCAGATAGGTACTCCAAAAGGAGCGGCAGTCTTGTACACAACCACGCCAGCGGTAGCTGATCGCGATGTGATCAATCTGAGTCCAGGCTTGAGATGCAGAGGGAGGACGCCAGGTGGCACATCGGCGATACTTCGAAGACAACCATAAAACCAGAACAGTCAGCCAGCAAGCAATAATGTAGAACTTCGTACGTACGTACATCAGTTCGAGTTGCCATACCACATTAACACAGTGGTAGGGGTAGTAAAAGTATAAGCACTGATCAGAAAGATTAGGGTATGAAGATGCTATTCAAGAAGTATAATCCAGTGAAATAAATTTGGAAAGAGGAGAAATAAAGAGACATGAAGAATTCAGAAGATTGGAATTTGGGAGAACCCAAAGAGTGGATGCACCTGCGCCATTGCAAACGACTTTGAGCCATGTCATTTAAGGCCTCATAAAACCAGAACAGAGCGAACTGATATTTAGCAAACTCATCCTTTGATTGGAAGATGGATATCTCGTCAATGCCACAAGTTGACAAAATCTAGTCGAGCCTTCTGAATCCGCGTTGAGATTTCGTCAGCTACCAGATCATCAGAACTGATGAGACCCCTTAGATGAGTGAAGCGGTCGATGTGTTTAACTACTTAGTTCCGTATCATTGATTCGGAGACTGACACAAGCTAATCGTAAAGCAAAGTTTTGCATTTGCAGGGAGAGAATTACATTCCAAACATGGTAGTATTGTTGCTTAAGGTGGTCAGAAGACTTCATCTTATTAGCGTTTTCAGAAACAAGACTATATTATTTGTGTATTCTAAGCCAGTAAGGAAGTCTCGTGAAAGATCCGTTGCTGATAAGCTAGATGAATTGTACATCTAAAAGGATGCTTAGGACAAGGTCAAACAAGAGTAGGGAGAGCGGACAATCACTTGGTTATTGAAGCGGATAACAGTTCGCTATGAACTCTGATTGGATCAGTAGTGTTCGAGTAGAGCCTGTACACGGTTAATGTACTTGGTACGCTTTTCAGTGATAGACACACAAAACCTCATGACCAACAGTCGAATCCCACTTTAAGGTCAAGAAATGTAATAGAGGATTATAAAGATCACATTAATTGTAAATCAAGCTGATTTCTTTAAGGTTATCACACGGGATTTCTGTTTCTTATAAACGGACAGTGATCAATACAAATCGACCTCTACGTAGTTTCAGCAAATACATACAACATGAGAAAATATACACCGAAATACGCGGAGAAAACTACTACAAGTAAGTGAAGACAATTTTAAATCTCATTAAGACATCAAATAAGAAAGATTAGTTCAGCGAAGAGTTCTCTTTTCGGCGAATTCATTTTCAAAGCTGTACAATCGCAAATATATACTTATTTTTACAGGATGATAATAATACTGATAATAAACTTGTTATACATGGTGACAGTGAAGTTAAATAAACGAAGGTGTTAAAATTTTAAAAATTTAAAAACAAGGAAAGTTTAATAATTGTTTGATTGTTATTGGCTTATTTACACTGGTATATTATGTTACCAATCATCACGATACGTATCCAGCTACAAATCACAGTACTGCCCGGATCAATTAACACCTTTAGTAAGTGTAACAGACTGGTGTTGGACTTCAAAACTTAAGTCAAAAGTGTACGTACACACAGGATACACATGACACAATATCCTCACGCACACATTATTCTGTGGAAGAAAATAATTGACTATGGTGACGACATTGAGTGAGAAATATGCAAGTTTTAGATTTGGTTTTCTGATGTTAATAAGCGTCCTATTGCTCACAAAATTTTCCACTAAGAATTATGCGAATGTATCACAATTGAAGATGTTTTATTTAAGAAGTAAGATGACATGCATTGAGAACTTACATCACACGGCGATTCCGTCACAAACACATGGCAATATTGTAGATTACCAAACCCTGATGGTTCTCTCGCCAAAAATGCGACTTGTTTGTGGACGGCATCACAAGTAGCGTACGATATTCTGCGAAGAGCATGGGCCATATAAACAATCTGTTGGAAGGTAGTGTTAAATTTAAACTAAACATACTTTCAAATCGTCTGAACATATTTTTATGCCACTAATGGAAACACACACGATCACAGACTTGCTACGTGTAAAGCACTAGTGTTTCAATCTACTGGTTTTTATAAAAAACATACTCTTAATGATTCAAGTTCCTTTTGGACTTTTTGAGCTCTGCATACATTGTCCTGCTCGTCAACAGGGAACGATCCGACGTACTTAAATTGTTACCAGAAGACTGTAACTTACCAGAGAATGACGGTATATAATTTCATCTTTCATTAAAGCACAATTAAAAGTCATGCGCTACCTAGTAGTTATTCATGCAATTAACTGTTACGAAGCCTTTCAAGTTACGCCTTTAATTACTGTTCAAGGTCATAACAAAAATAATATATTCTACAACAATTAGATAACTTGAGTTTATAAAATGTTGATAATATCAGTTTTAATAGTTTTTTGCAGGAAGTCGAACTTTGTGTTTTAATTATCTCGTTGGTGAGGTAGGACGACATATTGTCTGTGACTTGTTCGCAAATACAAGGGTTAGTGTTCTTGGTAGGATGCGTCGAATTTCCCTTTTTTTGTGAAGCCTGTTTTGCTATTGTAATTGGCATGAATGTCCTTATGATTTCCTGTTGATTGTGATTTTACATCCAAATAATCCTGTTAAGTCGAAATGTTTTCTGGATGTAGAGGGCTATTTTAGATGTCTTCATTTAATGTTCTAACTATTCACAAACGATTGTTTTCCGAATTTGGATTGAGAGTCAAACCCACTCGTCATTATTTTAGCTCGAAATTCCTCTTAGTTCAGTAATTCGATGCATCGACTTCATAAAGTACTTGAGACAGCCATGTCTTGGTTTCACCTCACTTCTGATTATGTGGTTTGGTCTTCATTGGGCAGTGTTACGTAGTTCTGGAGTATGTCCTCTATTTAAGCTATTATTGGTCGGCTTGCGTACGTCAGGTCCAACGTTGTGTAAGATTGAATGACTGGGGGATTCGACATAAGCAACCAGTCCATTATGGTCCAGAAACTAGCAGATATCTACTGATAGATATGTAAGGAGAGGTCCTGGTGTACCAAACACAACTCCCTGTTTGTCGAGTATTGAGAAGTTATTTTATGCTATTAGATTCAGTTTACATGCATTACTCTCACTTTAAGCATAATTCCGCAGTTTTTACGTGGTCATCTCACCGTGAAAATACTCTGCAGCTTCTAGTCCCCACAGTTTTCGAAAAGGACTTTACCTACTAAACTTTGTTCGCTTATTGTTTTTGTAGTTTACAGCTTGAGTTCGGAATTTTAGTCAGGTTAAAAGTTCGTTTAATAATATTTCTGTAAATTCGTCTTAGTGTATTTCAAATTTTTGTGAGTGCACTTCTTACACAAACATACTCTTGATACGTCACCTAATAATTAATCGTTAGTTCTAGGTTCATTTTAACTTATTTTCAGTTGTTCACGTGTTTCGCTGCTGTAGTCCTGAGACATTCGTACAGCTTTTGTAAAACTCTTACCAGTTCACCTGTTTTATAAACGGATTATGACAAGCACACTTAAAGAATTGACTTACAATTCATAGTTCTTAACATATGTAAAATCAACTTAGCGAGTCATTACGATTTTTCTATTAATCAAGTCAGTGTATTTTTTAAATGTTTCTTTATAACTAACAGCTCCAGTATTGAAAGGCGTGACTGCTGTGCATAGATTGGTACATACGTGATTAAAGTGTCTGCGTTGGTCGTTCCTTTTTCAGACTATTAACACAGTCACTAGTAGTTCACTTAAGTTAATGTAAGAAGTAACAGGGTTTTCTAGAACACAATGTCACATTGTAAATTCATCTGCATCATTGCTACATTGGAAGAAACTGATGCGGAGTAGCGTCGCTGACACAGCATTCGATCGTTCATCTTTTTACTAAAATTTTCCGTATGGGGAACCACTCCAATGTTGATTTCCTTATGTTCAGACCACACTCGTTCAGTTGTCTTTGTCTGGGTTCTTTTAACGTTTCATTGGCTGCCACTTAACGGTGTACAAAGGCGTGTCTCATTACTGAGTCCTCTGCTATGAATTCATTTTTTGTCTATCGCTTTAAATGTTTATCCTGATGGTTATCCTAGACATTTCTTGTTTCTTTTCTAGTTATTCTCGTCATTGAAAATGGCTTTGGCCGCTCAGAAAGCTCTGTTGGATGAGCTAATGGGTAAAAACAGAAATGCTTGTAATGGTGAGAGCTCTGGTGGTCCACATTGGTCTGACGATGATGTATGCAAGTTTTATTTGTGTGGGTTTTGTCCTCATGATTTATTTGTCAATACAAAGACGGATTTGGGTCAGTGTCCTAAATCTCATGATGAGCGCATGAGAGAATCGTATAAAAAGAGTTCTCGTTTTGGAAAGATGGGGTACGAGCAAGATTTTGTTCACTATCTTACTCAGCTTTTGGAGGATGTTGAAAAAAGAATTCGGCGAGGACATGAGCGATTGGCAGTCAATAAATGTGTTAACAATCCAGACCCAATCGGAGCCAGTGAAAAGAAAGAAAAAATTGCTGCGCTCACCAAAAGAATTAATGACTTAGTGAAACAAGCTGAGGAATTGGGAACTGAAGGAAAGGTTGATCAAGCACAGGGAGTTCTTAAATTGTGTGAACAGCTAAAATTTGAGCGATCACAGCTCGAGGGTGATGCGCGTCCCGGAATGACTCAGGTATGCCACTATTATTTCTTTAATGTTTTCTGTTTCGCTTGTTTTCAGACTAAAGAGTTGGAAGTCTGTGAGATTTGTGGAGCCTTCAGAATCAAAGACGATGCACCTCAACGAGTTGAAGAGCATTTGTCTGGTAAAATGCACCTTGGCTACGCGAAAATTCGTGACTATTTAAGACAATACAGTGAGAAGCATTCGAATTCCTCTTCTCGTTATGGACGACGGGATAAACGATCTCCAGCTGATCGCTCTCCTATTTCTCGGGATCGTGATCGTCGTCGCAGCCGTGGTAGGAGTGTAGAGCGAAAGTACGTTCTTTTTTCTAAACGTAAGCTGTGGTTAGTAGTATCACAGTTCCCCGATGAATTAATGTGATTCGATTGGAATAATTTAAAAAGGTACTTATTGCAGATTTTAATTCCGCTTATTAGGTAATTTTGGAGTCATCGTCTATTGCGGAGGCAATCGATTCCACAAGGTATATTTACTTTTAAAGCCCAAAGTAGTTTATTTAACATAGATTGTAAAGTTCGATTAAGATATACGCAAGGTGAATTTTTAGGTATTTTTCGCTATTGTCTCTAAGTGTTTTTGTCCATTTTTCAGTTGCTATTCTGTTCTTGTTTATTTTCTCAGTTCTCATCTACACTCCAATGCTTCCCGACATGGTCGCCACGAAAGTGGTGGCAGTCGGTTTAGATCCAGACATGATTTTCGGGATGAAAGGCGAAGATTTGGTAGATCCAGATCCAGTTCACGTTCGCGAAAACTTTACGATCGTCACCGTCACGATCACTCATCCTCTTCAAAGTCCACGAAGCGCAATACTTCACCATTCAGTGCCGCCCGACGTCCTCCCGAGGGTGCTGAAGATTACTAACTTCTCAGTCCAACCTATTTGTTAGAATATTGTACATATATTTCAGATAAGTTTTCTGTTTACGCGTTAATAAGACCTTAATTCATGTTTGTTTCCAATTAGCATTGATTTGTCGAATACAGAAATTAATGCAAATTTTCTGTTCTCATTTACTCATTTGGTAGGCCATCGGATACGTTAGTTTTATTGGTATGAGATTTCTATTTGTTTCCCGATAACTCAAAGTTGCACCATAAGTCATCCAATTTTTCACTAATAGGACAAAGTATCAGTCAGTCAGCTACAACGTAGGACCAGGCACATATGTGCATCGGTCCAGGTTGCCATACCGCATCAGCACAACAAAATGACCACCGGATTCATAGCAGTGGTTAGGTCAAAGGTGGTAATACATAAGAAAGATTGCATATAGAGATATAGTACAAGAACAGAGAATTGGTTCGTAGAAAGAAAGATACGAAGTGATTTTAATCTCTTAGTTTAAGGGAAGACAGGTAGTGTATACACCGACGCCATTGTGATCGATTCTGAGCCATGTCACCAAGAGTCTCCAACCATTGGTTACGAAAGTCACGCGGACCCCAACCAAGTAGTCTGCATTTACCAACATGGCTCAGACTAGAAGTTAGTGACTTCAAGCACCGATGCGACGTTTTGGTTTGGCCTCCCCTAACTTTCTTCCAACCATCCCGAACGCCGGTTAGCATTGCACGTCGTGGTAATTGGTGTTCAGACATACGTAATACGTGGCCCAACCATCTCAGTCGATGAAGATGCATAACCTCATCAACTGATTTACCATCGTTTCCTAATACCCTTAGTCTAACCTCACTATTACTTACCCGGTGATCCCAGAAGATGCGAGCAATATTTGTGAGGCATCTGTGGTCAGATATTAGTAGCTTACGAGTGTCTTCTACTCCTAATGGCCATGTTTCGCTGCCGTAAAGTAAAACAGAACGAACTGCCGCTCAGTATACTCGTCCTTTTATTGATAGACGGATATCTCGCCTTCGCCAAAGGTGACGCAAGTTGGCAAAAGCCAAGCGAGCTTTTCGAATCCGTGCTGAGATTTCGTCAGACACCAACCCATTAGGGCTGATCAGACTTCCAAGATAAGTGAAGTTGTCGACGCGTTCCACTACTTCACTCCCTATCCTTAGTTCAGGTGTTGACGCAGACCAGTCCTGAAGCAACAACTTGCATTTGGAGGGAGAGAAGCGCATTCCAAACATTCTGGCATTGTTGCTTAGTGCTACCAAAAGACTCTGCATTTTGTCAGTGTCTTCATCAAACAGGACTATGTCTTCTGCGTATTCTAAGTCGATAAGTGGACCTCCTGGAAGGAGATCAATACCCGAGATCTCAGTGGACGAGAAAGTTATTTCCATCAGTAGATCTATAATGAAGTTAAACAGAAATGGGGAAAGTGGACAGTCTTGACGGACAGTTCGCCATAAGCTCTGACTCGATTAGTAGTGTTCGAGTAAAGAGCCTTTACAAGGTTTATGTACTTCTGTGCTACGCCTTTCAATGACAGACACTGCCACAGAATCTCGCGGTCTACCGAGTCAAATGCTGCTTTTAAGTCGAGAAAGATCACCATTGTCGGACGGCGATAAGTATGCCTGTGTTCTGGAATCTGACGAATGGTGAATATGTGGTCGATGCAGCCACGACCAGGTCTGAAGCCAGCTTGAGTCTCTCGTGTTTGCAGTTCACGAGTCTTAGTTAGGCGTCTGATAATTA